CGATTGACCCTCCCAGTTGATCTGGCAGTTGAGGTCACGGCAATATGAAACGAGATTCGACAGTAACTGACGAGAGATCATTTAATTACTGTTAGGCCCCTTTTGAATTAATATCGTAGCAGGGAAATAATTGAGCTCCGTGACTCGAGCGATGTTCTCACACCGACACGTGGGCTCAAACTCAGTTTCACAATAGTGGCTGAACCTCCGACTGGTAGACATCTCACCAGATTTCCCACGTGGAGAGTCTCACTTGAAGACGACCTGATTTTGTGTACAATACAGTTACGTCGTAGAGGACCCTTCATAACGAGCCCATCACCCGTAAAGGCTGCACCGCCAGTCCATAGAACTCCAATCATCCTTCCAGATCTAGCACAGCCCATGTGTGAGCTGTATCATGCAAAACCTCGGCAAAGCTGCCCGAAGATGCAACGCAATGCCCAGACCGCTGGGCCACATCCGATTCAGAGATTTACCCAAGCAAGCATCCAAGGCGGTGATCATTACCCTGGGCACGGGCACGGCACTGTGCAGTATTCGCGACGCAAGCTCTTCCTGAAATTCACTCCATCCTTCAATGCTCACAGAGGCTTCAGGAATCACTTCACCGGCTCCCATCAATCACTGGGGGACCACCAAGCTTCTCGTCGACCTCAACAAAAAAAAAAACAAAACAAAACAAAACAAAAACTAAAACAAAAACAAATTGCTCAACTCGCGTCTACACCGCATATCTGGGACTGGAACTCGACCGCAGCGACCTCAGAAGTACACCGGATCTGGTCTAAATAAGCGACGCAGTGTCGAGTGCAATGTGTTGGACAGGAGTGGGGGCGGCGCATCGTGGCTCAGTCGACACACGTGCGCGGATAGATGTCGGCCCACTGTAATGCAGGGAGCGATGAGCGAATGCAGTCCGGCATCGCTGGGTTGTATGTAACCCAGCAGCAGCAGCATCCATCTATCGACCTATCTATCTATCTATGCATCGATCTATCTATGTATCGATCTATCCATCTATCTATCTATCAATGTATCGATCTATCTATCTATCGATCTATCCATCTATCTATCTATCTATGTATCGATCTATCTATCTATCTATCTATCTATGTATCGATCTATCTACTCGAGGGCAGGATCATATTATTACGTATCAGTCGCCGCATGGCTCCTCCTCCTCCTCCGCTCAGTTGTTGTTTGACTGGGCTCTCTTTCTAGACCAACAACAACAACAGCAGCAGCATTATCCTGACTGACTGCCCTGACTGACTGCCCTGGCTGGCTCAGAGTCTCTCAGTCTCTCTCCTTCCGTTTCGGTGCAATGCTGCTGCTGCCTGTTTGTTTGATGTTTGTCCTCGCTCTCGGTCTCTCGCAGGCAGGAAGGCAGGCGAGGCCCCGGCATTCCGAGAGCAGAGCAGAGGGAGAATTGGCCCTCGATTCCCTAAGTTCCTTTTCTATTCTCACGCTGCATTCTCGCATTTCTCCACGTCTTCTCTTCTTTTCCCACCTGCTCTTTGGGATAGTTGTGGTTATTCATCCATGACGTCGATAAACATCCATCCAGATATCCATCCATCCACTTTGGAGGGTTCGAATTCTGGTCGCCCTTGAGTTGTGGCAATAGATAGAATGGACTTTGAATTTTGAATGCGTTGATTCTTCTTCCTTCTTCGCAACTTTTATTTTTCTTTTGATTTTACTGGTGGAAGTTCAGCATCGCATCAATCGAATTCTCTGTAAGTAGGAACTTTGCAGATTTTTTTAATCAATTTACATTAAACATGCTTGTTGCAAGTGAATAAATAAAAAATAATAATAAAACCTTCAAATATATATATATATATATATATATAAAATTTAAAAAAGGAAAAAAACTAAAACAACAACAACAAGTATAAAAAGGGCATACAAAAAGTGACAGTTTGTGCGGGATAATCATTTTTTATAAAGAATAAAAAAAATAACACTAAAATTTTATATTAAATTATTCAATTTATTATAATATATTTTGAAAATGTTATTGAAATCACAACAGTGCATAAAAATTACGTTATATTTTATTTTATTTTGTAATATATATAATGCAGAAAATTGAAAAAATCAGTTGGGTGTTTTGGAGGCTAATTGTTTTTGCTTGATATGAGATAAGTAAATTCAATTTAATTTTAAAGATGACGTAGAAGCCAGTGATAACAGGTATTAGAGGCTCTTTTTCTTTATTATTATTAGTATTATTAATGGTTGTTATGGAACTATACCAGATAAAACTTGAAAAATCTGATTAGAGTTTTGAATGGTGCCATTAACTAAATTGTGAAGAAGTTGGAAAATTTTTCTTTATTATTATTTTTCTTTTTTCTTTTGTGGTTACTCTTGATGAAATAAATTAGAGTATTACTAACTTTTGGATTATTAATAATAAAAATAGTCTAATTTAACTATACAAAATCCTATTCTTAAAAATCATGATAGCAGTGTTTGAAACCTTTAAGAACAGATTTTTTGAAAAAATCGAAAAAAAAATCGTCTTTAGCCTTGAAACATTTCAATATATGCAGGATTGTGATTATTTGTTACACTGAGAATAATATTGCATTGTTTGAGAGTATTCTCTTGTAGATGGCGGTTTCATGATTTTTCTATTTTCTTAGAATTCACTTGTTAAAAGCTGCAGCCATTCAGAAATCTATCCACACAAACACTGGTTTAAAAAAATATAAAAATCCAAAGCTAAAGTTCAATGAAAACCACATTCCTTTAAATTTTGTTTTTCACAAAAAAAATTATATATATATATATATATATATATAGATGAAACAATGTATTAGCAAGGAGTGAATGCAGTCCTATGTTGCATAGAACTGCAGAATTCATCCTATACATTAAACAAAACATTCACAAATACTGGTGCAGACATTCACTATCAAAAATTTAGTTTGAATAAAATTTGATGCAACTGATTGTAAAAAAATCATAATAGCGTAAACTTTCACTCTTTACATCAAAAGGCTTTTTCATGACAATTCCATACTCTCAAAAACCTCCCATGATGACAAATTTGAACATTTTTGTTTTATCCTCAAACTATCTTAATTACTTCCATCAGCCCAGATCTTTTGAAGAAGTTTTTTTTTTTATTTTTATTTTAAAGGTACATATTTATCCATGTTATGATAAAACATCCACAAATATTGATTGTAATTTGGATATGAAGTTAAGATAGCCAAAGGCCACCATCCGGCATAGATTGACATCCAATTCCAACACATGGGTCAACTAATACACATAGAATTGAAAGAAAGAGTGGTCTCAAATGCAACATGATTTTAATTCTAAGATGAGATCAATTACTTCTAAGGAGAAGCATTTTTCCCCATTTTATTTATTTATTTATTTTTATGAACAAGTGGGTCCGAAGTTTCTAGTAGAAAGAATAGCTTTGTCGAAACAAGCGTTCACTTGGTCAATATGGGAAGTGAATCCAACTCTCAAAGACTCCTCCCCCCCCCCCCCTTTGATAAGTCAATGCATGCATCACCCCTTCAAGCACTCAATCTAAGGAAAATTAAAATTAAAATTTTCTACCACAATCACAAATCATATTACCACAAGTGCTCAATGCTTTCAATGAATTCCAAAATATAGAACTAAAATTTAAGAAATTACAATTCTTAAATAGCAATTTTTGAATTTGATAGTTTGTATTAGGATTGAAAGTTTATTGATTCAAATGCATTTTACTTATTATTCAAGTATACTCTTCATGACCAAAAGATGAAGAATATTCTACATTAGTGTATTTGTTTTACTCATATTGAGTGAAAAATAAAAAGATTATATCAAACCTTGCCAAAAAAATATAATAATAATAATAAGCATTATTAATACTTTATTGATATTTTATGATTATTATTATGGTGGTAGAATTGGAGAAGTTGACAATTTCTAAGCATGATAGGGGGATAGGCACATGGGGATCTGGCACACGTCACCAGTTGGATGGATGATATCCTCTTCTCATCCTTCCAACATCCGTTCAAGTTCGTGAGATTCTTTTGTGAAGGATATCCATTTCGGGGATACTCACACAAACATTCTGGGGTTATTTTCAAATTTTAAAATTAAAATTAAAATAGTTTTTATTCGCTTCATAAATAAAGTTTAGGGCTCCATCTTGTTCATCCAAACCCTAATTAGGAAACAAAAGTAAACACGAAGGCATTGGCATCTTGTGCATAATACTTCAATTTAGTTTTGAAAATATTATGAAGTGTGCATAACTAACCAGATTTATTTACAACAATCTACTTTGTTGATGAGATTTTAAAAAAAAATTGAAAAGATCTCTTAACATTTGACATGACATGCAGAGAATGCGTTTTGTAAAACATGATAAAATGAAGAAAAAGTAAAAGAAAATTAACTATGCTTTGTTTTACTTTTTAGATTTCACATTTCAAATAAAACATGGCACAAGAACAAGCGGTTTGTGGGTGTTGACATAGTATTGGATGGCAATGTAAAGTGCAAGTGATTTCAAAAATGCATACAGTTTTATTATCTTTTACTACTGTGAATTAAAAAGTTATCCATATGTATTTTTGGCACATTATTATTGATTTTGAAAAGAAAATATAAATTTTAATAAATTTTAAATAATTTAATCATACTAATATGTAAGTAAGAGAATATATATATATATATATGAGGTATGAGGAATGAGGTAGAGAGACAGGCGGTGGTGGTCATTTTATCAGAGGGTTTGGGGGGGGGGGGGAGAGGGGGACGGTAGATCTCTCATGGCAGGTAGCACCATGTCGTGTGGGGGGCACAACGTGATGGGCCTAAAGTGGCGTGGGCCCGGCTCAGTCAATTTTGTTTATTTTTGTTTTGTAATTTTGGGATCGGTTGTGTCTAGTTTATTTGTTTTAGAAAGGGGGGCTGGAAGAAGCCTGAAGTGTGTACGAAGCAGCAGGAGCAGCAGAGTCGGGGTGGGGGAATCTGAAGCGGGAGTGGTCAGGGCGTGAGTTGTGACGAGGTGGAGTGGGAATCCGAGCAGCAACCAATGCCCCTGCTGTTGTACCACTCACTGCCTTGCTGCAAGTCAAATGGGCTTCGCTCTGGATGGTCTTGTAGCAGCTGCAGCAGCAGCATCATCAGAAGTGAGCAAGTGGGAGGGAGGGAGGTAGAAGAGACCGTGACGACGAAAACTACCCATAGGGTAGTCGTTCATGCCTTCCCAGACATGTCCGATTCGGTCCCATTCTGTCGAGGGTGCCCGGCTTGACGCAGCAGCCAATTGTGAGTGAGCCGATGGCGGGCTGCACATGCGGTGGGTGGTATCGTTAAATCGATAACGTCGGAGAGTTGAATAAGATCGAGAGAGAGAGAGACAGAGGTGTGAAGCGGATGAAGACGACAGAGCAAGATGAGTAGTAGGAGTACGGAGAACATGCGGTGAAGGAAGCAGGGGAGAGAGAGTAGAGGGATTTGAAGCAAGCTAGGAAGGAAGGCAAGGCTAGGAGGGGAGAGAATTTGGGAATGAAGGGCTAGGGGAGAGATGGAGCCGGGCCTGTCGCGGACGAGGGGTGAGGTGGGCAATTAATAGGAAAAGTTAATGAATTCGCGCGTGCGTGAAGCCTTATGTTCCGCCCCCGAGCCCCCGCCATTTCCTTTGCTGGGACAGCACTAAATCCGCCTGCCACATATCCAGTGTTAGTATGGGAGCCTGGGAGAGAGCGCCGCTCTTCGCTTCCAATGCATCGTAAATTTTGGATTTGTGTCAGGCTCTCGGTACTCCTCCTCGCCCGAGAGACTCTTTCTCTCATTCTGCCCTCTCGTCCGCTTCCCGTTCCTCCGCCCCTTCTGCCCCCGACTCCCTCTGATATTAACATAGTGGTCTCCCGCTCACTCTCCCCTTCTCTGTTCCGATCTCTTCCTCCCTCACTCCACTTCGCACAAGTGTTCGTCTCCTGGCTCTCCTGTCCCACTCTGATATCAACAATCTGCCCCTAGAATCCCTCTGCGAAAGCCCAAGGTTGGGGCGCCATTTGACTGCGGAACATCCCCCCCCCCTTTCCTCTTCAATAGCTGGGCGGTGGTTTCATGGTCGGTAGCAACAGCTGGGGATGTGCAGTAAAGGTAGGCTTCAGGCTTCGGAAAGTGTGAGAGTATTAATTGGCAAGTGTATTCTGGAGGGGAGGGGAAGTCGGAGATTGACTGAGTGGAACGACGTGCGGTGAGCTGGCTCGGTTTAATATCTGTGTGCCGCTGGAATGCACAATCCAGCGTGAGACTGGAGGTGCAGCTTTCTCAGGAAACGACGACTGTTATGTGTATCGGACAGTTTGAGAAGTAAGTAGTTGAGGAGACGTGCGAGGCGTGGTGTCAAGCAGGGGTATGGATGATGACAGTGTCTGGACAGAACAAGAGCTTGTGCTTTTCCTTGTCTCTCAATTCTTCCAATAGAGGGTCTCTGGAGCTGCTGGGAAGAGGCGTGGATAGTAGTAGTGGTGGGCGCGACGCAGTCACAGCAGACAGCTCGTCTCCCGGTGTGGGAAAGGAGGATCCACCGAAAGAGCGTGAGGTGGTTATGGGTCGCGGAAAAATAGAAATTAAGAAGATTGAGAATCCCACCAGCAGGCAGGTCACATTTTCCAAGAGGCGTGGGGGCCTGCTCAAGAAGGCCCATGAGCTCGCCGTACTCTGCGATGCCGAGGTGGCCCTCATCATTTTCTCCAGCACAGGGAAGCTGTTCGAATTCGCCAGCTCAGGCAGGTAGGACGATCACTCGGACTCTCTCAGATTAATGCCTGCAACCTCTTCCTCGCGGGACCCCACTTTTTCTCTTCTACTCCCCAGTCCACCTTTGTCGGATGCTTCACCTCGACTACTGGTCGACCGGTCGACCGTGTTCAATTACGAATCGTAGCAGGAACAATGCCCTCATCTCTTCTATTTTTTATTTTTTTATTTATTCTCCTTGAATTCACCTCCATCTCCTGGTCTCTTGGCAACGCGTATTTCTGCAACCCGGCATTCCGGACACAGCAGTCGAGCTATTTCTCCTAACCAGTGTTTAGTAATCGTCTAAAAATAACCATCTGCCTTTTCCGTGATTCCCAATTCATGCTCTGTATGTACAACATCTGCTCTCGGTGCTTTCATTCGAATTATCCTGGGGTTGGGTGTGGCGCGAGAGTGTCAGCCCAATATTCTATTTGTTGCCCCAAACATTGAGCTTAAATAATCAGCAATTCGCTCCATGACTGCAACCAGTCCTTGGTTTTGTCCCTCTATCTACCTCTGTTGCGATGGTCAGTGTTACTAACTCGGATCTCAAACGCACTGATCGGGTACGGAGCTTCACCGTGAGGCTATAAGTTTGGAACGTTTTCGATTTAGTTGACATTACTAGAGTGCAGATTGCAATAGCATACGCTGAAGCACATCGAAATGTTCCGATGGTTACGCCGCTGCAGCGCGTGAATAGTTGGCACAGATGTTTAATTACAAAGGGTAAGCGTACAGTAGCAATGAAAACAGGAAAGAAATGGACGCTGCAGATGGTTCGAACAGGTTGCTAATTTGAATCGCATCCCGAGAAACCTAGTAATCATCTGATTCCATCGCAACGGATTACACAGAGGGTTTTGTGCAAGGGTTTGGAATCTGAAAAAACATCGAATGGTTGTTCCTCTCTTGTAATCACCTGGAAGTCGACGCTCATAGTGGAGACAGGTCGGCAGTGATTGTATCCGGGGTTCCGATCCATTGAAGAGTTCTGATCCCTTTCGTTCTGTTGCATATTGATTGTCCTATGTAGTATGCGCGACATTTTGGAGCGATACAGCAAGTGTCCGGATGGAGTGCAAACTGATGGCAATAGCGACGTACGTCCCATCCAAATCCTTTGACGCTTCTAATCGCAGCGATGGCTGGCAAACCTTAAGAGACCATCTGTTTTCTTTCTAATTAATTAGAAAGCTCAATCCACTTGCAGCTGCTTGATAGTGTCCTTGTATGTGCATTGGCAGTTCATGGGTCGAGAAGTGGTGAAGCTACGGCAACAGTTAGAGCGATTGCAGCATTCTCAAAGGTACCCCTCACCCACATCCTAAGCTTAGGTTAAAAGCTACTTTGGGGTATGGAAGATCAACGTCGCTCTGAATTTGGGTGCGTTTCGTGCAGGCACATGCTTGGTGAGGATCTTCAGGTTCTGACGGTGCCTGACCTTCTGCAATTGGAGCAGCAACTGGACATGGGTGTGTCTCGAGTTCGAGCAAGGAAGGCAAGTGTCAGGATGTTCTGGAAAGTGAATGACAGGAAGTAAACAAATTATGAGCGCTACCAGAGTTAATAGTACCCCTCACTGATGCGCGTTACCTTTGACTTGCTTCTAGTTCCTCTTTAAAGCATCCAGCACGATTCTTCGTTTCTCAAACTCGTGGCATAGACGTGAGGCCATGCCGATCTAAGTTTCACCCCTCCTGCACGCATTTCTGACCCATCCCTACCCATTCAGTGAATCGAAATTTATTGCTTACAGTCAGGAAGCCTTTTAAGCGTAAAATCAGAAGCACAGCACAACTAGAAGAAATTAGAGTCAAGTTTTTTTTTGTTGCAAAGGCAAGTATGGGATGCGTGTTTCAACACATTCGCATGAGCGATAGCTGGTCGTTACTAGCTATTCAAAGTAAAGCACTGACTCCCTTCGGATTTTACCGCTGCAGAATCAACTTTTACTTGAAGAGGTTGAGGAATTGCGGCGAAAGGAGCACGACTTACAGGCCGCAAATGAAGAATTGCGTCAGAAGGTATGTATGCCCTGAGTTCCTGTAATGAGCTAGTCGACCTCTAGTCTTCGCATTAATGTGGTAATGGCAAGTACTGATAATATCACATGCTATCATCTTGAGGCTGTCCTGTTATTCAATAATAACTTAAACGTGCACCTGTCTTGGAAGTCAACTGATTGAAGTTACTGTTTCTTTTTCTCTGTTCAGCTTGCGGATGCCAAGGGAATGCTTACACTAGAAGCAGGCACAGCTCGCGCTGGGACATCAGAAAGCCCTGGTGATCAAGGTGGTAGTTGGCCCACACGTGAAGTTGGTGGAATCACCCAGCATCAAGCAATCACAACATTCCCTGCACATCTCAATCTCCGAGATCCACAGACCTCGCAAACCTCGTTACATCTAGGGTGAGCATCCAACACACAATTCCCTCCCTACTTTTCAATTAAAAGCTTTGTTTTGCTCGAAAGAATGAAGATCCGTCTCTTGAAACTGTCAAAGAATAGTGCTCAATTTCGTATTGCTGAATTGCGCCGTTATTTGGTTGCTGAACAAATTCTCCAGTTTATTTCCTAAGTCGCACATGCCGAGCGCAAGCAGAAGGCCGTCCCAGCAAAGTCCAACTGAACCAGAAGGTACCCATCCAATCCTAGTTCCTCCCTTTCCTGCCCCATTTTGTATGCTAAAGTGTGATTAGTTCTATTCCTGCTGATGAGAAGATTCTGAACCTAGAGCTAACCCACAATTTTGGCCAAATTTCAGGTATTGAATTCGTGTATATATGCGTTGATAACTGGTGCAGGTGAATCTTCGATGAGATGGGAACATCCACACTTTCGAAGCCAGAAATAGACTCCATGCAACCTTTCAACCACGTGGGAAATAGTAGAAGTTTCATTGTTCATTTGGTAAGTGATCAGGGGAACATAGCCTTCACCTTGCCCTGTTTCAGTCCACCGTAGATAGCTGGTCCTTTCATATATACTGCAGCCGATCATTGTTCCATTCAGATTCAAGTGCATGTGCCGAAGCATACCTTCTTCCGAATTCACTCCGACTTTCTGTTAGCCCCGCAGAAAGCTGCTATCACATAATTAACAGCTCCGGTTTCTGACGGATGTAGTTAGTTGTAGAACTATTTAGGTTTTTGGCATTTCAAAATGGTCCCGTGAGTTATGTCGACGAGACCCAGTTTCAATACAAAACACCACAAGAAGCTCCATTGAATCTGCCCTTCACGACGTGGTGATCATTCAGCTCCAGTCTCAATGATACGCTTCTTGCATGCTTTAGCTGGGTTACTAGTTCCTTTGCAGAGCTTATTGCTTTAGGTAGACTTACCAATCTGGGGTTGATCTGAGAAAAATATGGGTAGACTGGCAAATAGCTTACAGCATTAAACCTGATTCTCCCGCTAAACTTCATGAATTTTTCCTGCCGCGTGCATACCAGGTCACATTTAATGTTGTGGTTCTCATAGATGCAAGTCTGAGGAATCCGTTGCTATGACGCAATGTAGATCGACGTTGAGTTGGCCATCTGCACCGGTTTTCAATAATGTTGATCAGGATAAATTCAGTGAACTGTAGTTGTAATGTTCAGGATTGCGATTTAGTTAAGTAGTCGGTAGTCCCACTTCATGACAGATGTTGGTTCAAAGATGAATGAGATCTGGATGTTGAAGGAGGACAAACGTGGCCGAACGTTCCTATTATCGCTCGCAGAGAGTGCTAAGACTGGAAAATTGCCGTGCTCACACGTTCTCTGTTGTTGGCCAGGAGTTGCACAGTTTTCCAGATAGGTGTTCTCAGATGCATCTGGAATGGCTTGTAGGAGTGGCTGGAGGGCCGGCAGACTGAAGGCTGTCAGCATTCACCAGCAGTGTTCAACCCAACTCTAGTACTGCCTCGACACTGCTACTTCTACATCTCACCCATGTTCATCCGGATTCAATCAGTCCCTCGAGATTCTTCCTTGTTTGTGTGTCTTGGACGATAGACTTCAAACAAGGTAGCATCACTGCGAGGGAAACCGATTCGCTGTAAAGTTAGTGAATATTGTTACCTCGTAATTGTGAAGGATTCTATCATTTTTTCGCTGTAATCAGCCACTCCAATTTGTTGTACAATAGACATCAATGAAGCTGCCTCGTGACTTGCTGTCGCTGTCACACCTTTATTGCTCATGGCCCCTCACATTTCTCTCCAGTCACTAGACTCTGCTAGATCACTCAATAGGAAGGAGTTTGTGAACATGAAACGTTGAGCCAGTTTAAACTCTGGAGTCTCAGACTTATCATTATTGGAGCTGCGTGTAAAATTCAGCCACTTCATACAACCAAAGATATGCCTAGATGACATTTTGTAATACTGATTGCTCCGCTTGTGCAGACAGGGCGGATCACTATCACAAGCTATCAGAAACTCCTTCGAAGAATAGCCGGGACAGTGTCAGGTTAGTAGGATGCTACAGAGTATCTTCTTTTCAGATCTACTAGCAATTCCTTTATCAGGCGGCATGGAAGAATGGATTTAAGAAAACTGTTGAGAAAATGTGCATGATAGTTGTGTATGATTTTGATTGACGACCACAGACTAACAGAAAGGATGAAATCAATTCTTCGATATAAAAATTGTATTCTTCTTTTTGAAATTGGTTAGTACCAAAGTCATTCATTCGTGATGTTTGGATACTAAATAATTTTCGAAAACTACTAGGTATCATACATCAATAAAGAGCGGATTCACTAAGAAAAGATTGACCCACGTGTATACACCGTGCAATTACTCCTTGTTCCATTACCCTCCTTTTACAACCCCTAATAAGCAACCTTTTTCTAGCAAAACAATGATTGTGTGAGTTTTTTTTTGCATCAATTCAGTGTGGATGAATGCCACAATCCAAATTAATGAGTCGAACTAGCCGAAATAGTTTAAATAGTAATTTTGGTTGGGAAACCCATGATCAGGCAGCAATTTTAAGAGCTTTTGTTGTATGCACTTCATATCCTATTCCTTGTTTACATCCAGGAAGTAGTAAAGCATTTCCTTACATCACTGCATTCGGCAGCCGATACCTCCTTCATCGTCCTTGTTGTGATTCACATTGCCATAGGCCGACAGCTCTACAAAGTCCATATCCCGTCCTGCAATCCTCTAAAGCCTTCAGATTCATGGTGATTGGGGAATTGTAAACCAGTAATTTCTGTATTCCTAGCTTACCTTCAATTAGCAGATTAAAATCTTACAAGAATGTGACGATCAACTGGTACAGATGATAACAGATACAAGAGCAAAAACCAATGACACAAGGAGAAATTACCTATCCAATCACTAGAACATAAGGGGCAGCCAACTTCTTTTTTGAAAACAAAAAACATGATAGTAATCTTCTGTACCTGTAAGTGAGCAGTAAGCACTATGTTGCTGCATCTCGGTTACTGGGACATTAATACGGGCTCCTTTAAAACGATTGGCAGGTGCCTGCACATGTTCCACTTGTAAGTAGAATTCCAACAGAAGACTTGCATCATAATACTCCATCCCTAAGCCACATCCAGTCCTTGGATTCACGAAAGTCTAAATAGCCCTCTGGAGTTCATGTAAGTACTCAATTGCTTGCTTACGCAAACTGTGCAAGGAATGCGAAGATCGAAATGGGATAACTACCTGTAAAACCTGGCAATTGTCAAGCGTGCTTGGTCCCCCCTGTCATTCGTGAACACGCCACCTTTGTCAGCTAGAAAAATTACAAGATGGTAGTTAGAAAGAGAAGGCAATCTGATCTACCGGTTATACAACCACGTGAAAAGATAAATAGATATCAAGCAACCAGACTTAATGTATCTTATGCAATCTAGATTTCGAGAACTGCTTTTGGGCGCCTCCAGCATCTCTTGTAAGAACCATCCTGTGTATGGCACCAGTGCGACTCCCTTCTTGAGCTAGTAGAAAGAGGCTATCTAGCTCACTCCTGTTCGAATAGACAGTACCCTGACATAGCCCCGAAAAATAACGAGATTCAACCTTATTGCGATTCTGTGACTACACAAAGACTTGCTAAATTTGCAACGGAAGAGCGAACCTTGAGATCTTCCAAATCACGCTACGACTGTGTACCACAACCACAATGCGACCCAACGTCCACAACCAAAAGAAACCAGAACTACGGTGCAGTTTGTGAACGAAAGTGCAATTCGTCCTGATTCAAGACCAACCCAAAAGTCGAAATCATAAATGTCAACAAAGAGAAACGAGAGAGAGACTGGGTCACCTTGGAATACGGCACAATATGGTCGTAATCGTGACAAAGGCAGCCCTGGCAGCCAACAAGCTTCCGGAAGACGACGTTTCCAAGTGCGTCGCGGCGCCAGCGCGCGGGATCACGGCCTTTGACGGTCTCAGCCTTGGCCCAGCAGGCTTCCTTCACGTCGTGGGGGAAGGAGCGAGCGCCGAAGGAGCCTTCCTGCGACGCGACGGAACTTTCCTCATACTCTTGCTTGCTCTTCTTCGCTGCCTTGCTCGCGCCTCGCACTGCCTTCGCCAGCCCTCGCACCATCTCCGCCTGCTCCTCCGCTTCCCTGGCGCCTCCGCCCGCGCATCCAGATTCCACTTGGGTGCTGCTTCAGACCCTCTCAAACGCCGCGTAATGCCTCCTCACTCACTCCCCCATCGCTCACCCTCGCATTGGCCCTCGCCCTGCCTTATCCACGCGTAGCGGTAGCGCATCAGCGAGCGTTGCGCGCACTTCCACCCGCATCCCATCGCGTCGCGCACCCTTTGCGAGCAAAAGCGCCGCCACTCTGCGTCTTCCATTGCTAGCGGTGACCCGCCTTTCTTATTGTTGCCTTCCTTCTTCTCATTGTGTAAATCTGTTTACATTACTTAAAACGATAACAACAACAACAATAATAATAATAATAATAGTGGTTGAAACTCTCTCGATACTGTTTGCTTTGATAAGACACTTGGTGCGAGTCAGTAGTAATTGTCTTGTCTTTAACTAGGTGCTGGATGATGATGATTCAAGGGGTTGTTGATTTCTACATGATCATTGATGGAGTGATATTCACCAACAAGATTTTTCCTAAGAATTTGTTGAAGTTCATGGGGTTGTTGACTATGGTACCAGTGGAGGGGTTGTGTGTTCTAGGGTTTGAGGTCTCAAGTTTTAACCCCATCGTAGGTAGTGATTGTAATGTTTATTTTTCTTTTGTTGTGAATTAAGAGTATTTTTCCTTATTTTTGGATGAACTAATGTACACACAATTTGGGCATAGTTGCTAAGAAGATAACCATTTTTTACCTTAGCAATAGAATTATGTAAGTTAAAGGGTTTTGGACCTACCCAAATCCATAGAATGGGACAAGAGGCTACAAGGGACACCTTTCTTCGTTCAAGTTTATTAGATGTTATGTTTTACATTATATGGTCGAGATTTTTAGATATTTTATTGTATTCATTGCCATAAATTACAATGGATAATTTAAAATGTCTAATCAAATTGATTAGAATTGTAGACTTTTTTATTTGACTAGTTGTCACAAATTATATTCATTATTTCAAAGCTTAAAAATCAAGAATGTTATTTAGTAACATAATACTTAGTATAACATATATATATATATATATATATATATAATTCGAATAAATAGAATGCATATATAATTTGAATTTTCATAATTATATATAAATAAGAACAAAAAAATCACATTTAAAATGCATTCTAATAATTCAAATGATTCATTTAATTATCTAGAAGAAAAATACTATGAAACTATATGCCTCAGAAAATGAACTATCATCAATTGTTAAAAACTGATTCTACTCACAAATTTTGTGAGGGTTCAAAAAGTGATATGTTGCATGTTTGTAAGCCTAGAATTGTATAGAAATTATCAACAATACTATTCATACCAAATACATGTACCGAAAACATTTATACACTGTATGAAATGATTTCAAAAGATTCAATTTCAAAATGCATTCAAATAAATGCCCAAGGTTTCATCAACATCTCAAATATTTCACAAAAATCAATCATGTATTGAACTTTCTTTAATCTGTTTATTTTTAAAATTTCCCTTATTTTCTTAAGAAACATGCATGAGTGTATTTCAAGGGAACATTGTATCATTTGGAACAGATCTATACAAAAAAAAAAAAAAAAAACAGAAAAAAAAACAGAAAAAAACAGAAACTAATCACTTATGATCAAAAAAAATTAGACAATTTTCAAAATTCAAACACAATCACATGCACATCATGTAATGATTGTGTGAGTATGTTATATATATATATATATATATATATATATAGTTGCTAATGAAACCACAAGTTTTGCAACTGCCACCAAAACCTCATTAATAATTTAATCAAATTTCTATCAAAAGTTATTTTTGTTATTGCCACAACCATTTCTTCATGATTATATATATATATATATATATATATATATATATATACGTACATATATGTTAAAAATAGTAACAGTATTTGGATTGGAATAAAAAAACTAAATTGAGTGGTGACAGATTGTGGTAACAATAGCAAAAACCATGAAGATATTAGCAATATCCTGTATGTATATATGTATGTCTGTATACATATGTACTAAGAAAGATCATAAATTTGATGGAGCTACAGATTACAGGAATGAAAAGAGTTCACAAGATTCTCAAATAGAAATGATAATAGCTGATGGCCAGCATTAATGCGCTTCAAAGTACTACACATGCACTTCAAAGTCAATCGAGAGCAAGGCATGTAGCTTGCCTCCTCAAGAGCACAGCGACGATACGAATCACAATTTATTTCACATTCACAAAAGTACGTGGGAACGAAACAAGCCAACATTCCAGTCTCATTGAACAGCCTGGAGATAACGATGTTGCAATAGATTGTGTAGTGATGCTGACCCAGAATAGGAGTAAATGCACTCACTGAGCTTGCTGCATCAGGTGGCGCCGCATGCACAGGCTCTTCGTGTTATTGAGATACGTCCCGGTCACATAATGGGATGGAAACTAGTGCCAGATGCCTATTTCCTGGGTCCCTCCTTGCTTCATGCTTGCTCGATACATGCCTGTGGTGTTGAAAGCCATCACCACATCTCCAGTAGCTGAGACAGCCACAAGGCCACCCTTTCCTGCCGGAAGACGCTGTCCAATAACTTCTTCCACAGCCACATCCAATGGCACTTTCTTGTACTCCATAATGGCTGCCACCTCTCGCGCCACAGTGGCCCTAATAATAGCTTCACCCCTTCCAGTCGCTGAGACGGCACAAAGATGATTGGCGTAGTTCCCCGCACCCACAACTGGTGTATCCCCTGTGAGCAGCAGCTACGAGTTCAGCACTAAAGACATGATGCAAAAGAGCAGCAGCAGCGTCTCGAGCTATTATTGCAGGTGATAAAACGTCGAACAGAAACCCGTCTGCACTCTCATGATTGATTGTGTCATAAGAGGGACCTTTACGTCGCCGAAGCAACAGCAGACAAAAATTAATATAAAGGCGTTCAGGGTTACTCCATCGATTGATTGCATATCCGTAGGACTTGGTGCACCACATTACCAATTCGACCAACCATTTTGTTGACCAGTCCCCCAGTAGACGTAGCAGCGACACAGTTGCCTTTGCTATCCACAACAACGCATCCCACAGTCTCGAACTCAGGCTTTTGAGGATCTGTGGGCGGCAGGATATCTTGCTTTACGTTCTTTTTTTGTCCTGGATTGTCTTGGTTATGAGCTACTATAATTGTGGTAGAATATACGGTGTGATCTAACTGCAAACACCACCAGATTACGCATCAATTGCCTTGTTCCATCTCTGGAAGTGTCAGGCTGCTTCATGTGAAAGCTCAAGTACTGCACACAATCTCAATAACTTACTGCGGAAAGATCAATCGACTTTTTCAATAAGACGTAATACCACGGTTGCTGCCACACCTGACTTTCAAACTTGAAGTCCCTGCATATTTTATCTGCATGAAATTGTCCTGCTAGTGTTTTGTTTCTAATCGAAGTACAAATACCTGAACCAAGCTCTTTTCTTGAGCTCGTGCAAGCCGCTCCTGGTTCTCTTTCGTGATAAAGTAACTAGGTTCCTTGGTTTCTAATCCCTGCCACATAACCACAGGCTCATCTATCTCAACATTAAAGAGACAGTTGAGCCGAAATCTCGTCCTTGATTGTTGAATTTTCAAGGAGAAATTACGCATAATCACGCAGAGAGTGTTTTTAGTTCAGGTGGTTAACCTGCTGCCTAGCAAATGCTTCAGCTCCTTCGAATGCAAGATAAATGTGAGGAGTCCTTTCCATAACCAGACGAGCCAAGCTTATTGGGTGTACAACAGTTGAAAGTCCTGAAACTGCTCCGCAATTCATTGTTGGACCATCCATAATACATGCCTCCATTTCCACAGTTCCATCAGTTGTTAACACCGAACCCCGCCCTGCATTGAAGACCGGATTTGCCTCTAGCTCCTTCACCTATAATATCCATGCCCCACAACAATTTCCAAGCTGAATAGAAATTCATGTAATCTACAAGGTCGCACTGTGAAATCAACATGGCCATCGTAACAAATTTGCAACTGCAGAGCACAATGACGTTAAAAAGTCACAATTACCCTAAAAAAAAAGCCTAAATAAAAGGCACCATAGAACCCTCGTTGACCAGAAAATCCAAGTAACCAGAAAATGAGAATTCCGCTCAAAAATGCGTCACAGAAGCATTGTTTGAGGATCAACAATTTGAGGTTAGTGAAGTAAATCACCACAAGCTCGGCCACGTCTAGAGCGGCATGAGACGATTCAAGAGCGGAAACTCCCAGGCGAAGGCATTGCGCAAGGCACGCCTCCACAGCTTCCTTTCGTGCTCGAGGCAAATCCTTTGAAATGTCTCCAGCGCCTCCGTGCAAAGCTATTCCCCAACCCATGGTTCCTCCCCCACTAACTTCCAACAGCTACTACTTCATACGAACTTTTCCAGACGAAACCACAAAATCAGCTACCTCAAGCTTGGCAAAAAAGACTCTTCACACTGTTTTGCATTCATTGAGTGCGAGTGAGACAGCAGAAGCACTCCAGGACAGATACCCCTGAAATGTACACCGGACGGTCGGCTGATGACTGCTGGACAATAACGGTGACGACGTCAAAAACAAAGCGAAGAGGGGGAATTACGTAGTATCGCTTCACACAGAGGACAAATCCTTTTGCTCGTAAATGTAGTTTAAATTTTGAAAATTGTGCTGTTTTTAGATGCACTGATTGCCCCCACCCAAAGGCTCAAAAAGTGTATGACGTACTTTCCCAAGGTAACTGAAATCTCACACCCCATCTAGGACCCTTTTCCCTTCTTTACCCGCTATACCTGATAATAGGCAACTGATCACAGCTACATCATCAAATTCACGCTGAGAAGTCAAGTTAGGGAAAGCAAGGTTTGGACAAGTCTGAGTACATCATATGCCAATCCCATCATAGAGGAATATTTTCTAAAATTTTCACAAAAATGAAAAAAACTTCAATTCTGCATTCAATGATCATTCCTTGAATAAATTTTGGTGTGTGCAGAGAGACACACTCGCTCCCATTACAGTAATAATACTGTGGCCTGCCACTAAAATATGCATCCGGCAAGCCCAGGCGTATCCAGACCTTTAATCTAGAGGACAACCAACTAAATCCCTTACACTGCCCTAGCCTGGACGAAGACTACGACCCCATGAGCTTCAAGCGAAGCCGCCATATTACTTAGACCACAATACTTAGGACACAGATAGGACCCCACCTGCACAGATGCTGACCACAAAGACAACACCAACTCCAGCTGCCTCAGACTGTGGAGGTATAACGAGTGGATAACCTGTAATAAAAGTTACTCTATTATTTTCGAAATTCATAGCAGGATTCAACGAAGGTATATAGATATGACTGAACCGCCCTCCGCCATCCATTTATAGTTGCCCATGAACGGCGAATCATTGTCTTCAAAGGTGATGCATGTGCATCTTCATTCCATCAAAGTGTCCATATAACTTATTCTACAAGAGCGTGTCATCCACCCACATTCACTCATGTTGCGGATTATCTCGAGGGAGTTTCTCAAGCTAAAATCCACCGTCCACCCTCCCCATCCCTACAATTCACCTCTATTCGACCCACCTCCTTCTCTGCAGCCGTCGCTGGCTCAGAAAAGGCGGGTCTGTGTCATCGTTTGCTTATGGCCATCGTCTCTCCATTGTAGCGACTTTGCACGTGACCACGACCAGGGATATTATGGCCTTCACCGCCCTCACCAGAAGACAATGCAAGAATGTCAGAAGTGATCTCCCAACTACCACTCTGCCGACCCCTGCTCGTCCGACGGTTAGATACAGCTGGACGACCTTGCTCCAAAGGACGTGGGTCGAAACTGTCTTTCATTTCCAATCCAAGTTCACTCCCAGTGCTAACCCGACCCCCAGCCATCTCCAGCTCACCCCCTTCTCCAACCATATCCTCAGCATTTGGCCATGTGGCCTTGTACCCCTGTTCCAGATCAGGCCCTTTGGGAGCTCCATGTGCTTCTCCCATATCTCTTGTGTGTTGAACTGCCCCCATCTGTCCTGGGACGGCTTCTGGTACTCGACTTCTGAACTGGTTCTTGGAAGCCGGAATCTTGGAGCAGAAGATCTCATTGAAGTTGAGTGGACAGCCTTGATTATAAGGATTCACCTTGTTGTCATAACGATACCGAAAGTTCTCATACGTTGTCTACAGTGCCAGAAAACAGGGTTGACGCTTAGATGATGGAAACAATAGAGCGGAAGAGAAAAAAAATGTTAGCAATAGAAGATGTATAGCATCTAGGTATTAAAACATCAAATGTCACGTGAATGCAGGAGTTAAGAATCGGGAGAATATTATGTACCTGGTTTGTACCGATGAGGTACAGATGGAACACAGTAAGTCCACCGACAAACCACACGCATATAAAGGTATACGCCATGAGGACAATAGAAGCTGGAGACTTGGAAAGAGCCTTCCATACTGTGCGATCTCCCTCATCCATCAGGATTTTTATGTACAATGCACACATTGCAAAGACATAAACACACAACAACGAGGTCGACGATACGAACATGAAAAAGAATCGATAATTTCTCTGCGCACATCTCAACACAATCAATCATGAGAAACAAGGACAAGTGTCAATAACTCTTCGGAAATACGGTTAAGCCCACAATCCACAGACGTTGAACCAAAAAAGAAAGCACCTCGGATCTAGCCCCACGAAGCTTGTAGAATCAAATACGTGTAAACATCACGATATCAATGCATTTCAGCTCAATTGATGTATGCAGAAACGGTCTAGGTAGTACGACAAGAAAAATGCATACCTGACCAATACATTGACCGACCCAAGGGCAGTGGTGATCAAATCGTAGAACGCAATTATTGCATATGGAGCAGTGAGAACAACGGGGTGGACGATAAAGCATGCAGGTGTCACAGTATTTAGTTTTCACTACGACACCGTTGACCATGACATCTTTCGTTCGTGGCAGACGCAAGCGTGGAGTTTGTCCTCCCCACTCCCCTGGAGAAGTGTTAGGCTCAAATTCTTCTTCAGGTTCAGGGGGATGAGTATTACGGGGAATGATCCCTGGGTCCCTCCCAGATGTCAGGAGCAATAACACCAGTACCTGCTCAAGCATGGTCCACGTTGACGTCACCAAGCACTGCCTTGATATACAGAGTGAGAATACCAAATTTAACAATACGAAAGTTTAGGACAGACCAGCGCAACAAAATTCAATGAAGACCTCAAAGTCAGTACACACAAATAGCCCACACACGTTCCGTAATATTCACAAGATAAATTACGCTTCAAAACCATGCACAGAAAACTTTTTGTGCTTACATAGGCCGTGTAGACAGCTGTAACTGCAATAATTGCAACTCCCCCGCCTCCGCTAAAGTGATGTAGCAGGTGACGACCGACAAAAATACAGAAACACGTCGACGGCGCCACGATCAAGAAGACTGTGACTAACAGCGATCTTACATCCGGACCAAAAATTAACCTTCCGCACAAGAAGAACCTCTGCACATCAATCATTCTGACCATCAGCCAATGCGCACTGTAGCTCGGAATGAAGGTCAAGGAGACTCCATACCCAAGAGCTGTGAAAAATATTCTCTCTAATGAAAGCTGTTAGTGATGTACAGTGCCCTTCAGTACATGAAGTTTTAAAGCCGAATGGTGTGCCGCAAAATTTGGCACAATTCGATACCGTAACCCTCATATTGAGAGACCCGCCAGTCTTCAAAACTAAAAGCTAACCAGTAGCCACAAGCAAGATTTTAAACTCAAAAGACAATAATTCAGCAATAAAAGGCACAAAATGTTATCATCCAATTTACTAAAAGTCTTGCAGAAATTAGAAATAAGTAACCGATGACAACTTCTTAACAAACATAAGGGTCGTGATTTATCATATGCTTTTGGGAGGCACGCTAAGATTGGTGATGCTAAGCTAAATCAGTACTGTAACAAAAGCACAATGTACAAAAATGAACCACAGCTCCACTGCATGTGCTGACACGTATGAAGCTAAAACGACCCGGAATCAGAAGCGTGATACATTCCCTAATATTCAAGCATGTCTCCCGCTGCATAACAGTGCAAAGCGATGCTTCCCATGCACTATTTCACTTCTCCGAAACACGAGGCAGTCAAGTGACCGTTGTAACCCTTCCCCCACCGCAAAGACATCAATAGCAGCGATTGTAACCGGGAAAATACACCCGACTATGAGCTACAAACACAACCTTCTTTGTGCACATGAACAATACACGGAGGTTACAGGAACATATTACGTGCAACGTCGAGTTCTTCAGCATTCGAAATCAATGATACACTTCTCGCGTAGCAAATGTCGCCCTGGCATTCCAGATCCTGATTACCGGCCACGCAATCCTACTTCCCTGGTTTCCTCATAACTATGAATTTCACTACTAGCAATCCATTGATAGGAGAAAAGAACAAAAAAGATGAAAATATTTGACGGAGGGACCGAGAGCGACAGCTCGTCCCAAGCAAAGATCAACCATGTTCGCGTCGGATGACACGTCCATTACAAACCATACCCAAGCCAGGAAAGGAGATAACTCGCGATGAAAAGGGCGATAGTGCCAGCGCAAGAACCCAAACTTACATTACTGCCGTTCCAGACTTCATACACTCGTTTGCCCATTCCTCTCTGATTCTGACTAGGGTTTTCCCCCATTTCCCCTGACTAAACTCCCTCGCGCGCCCGGCGACGACGACGACCCCTTGTCCTTGTTGATCGCCGTCCTCTCTCTCTCTTTCTCTCCTCTCCCCGCAGTTTTCCTCACCCGCCTTGTGCCATCACCTGACCCGCCCCTTACACCCCCGCACTCCGTCAACCCCAGCTCCGTAGAGTTCACCTCCGAAGTAGAGGCCCTCTGATCTCAATCCTTGCCATCTCTGGCCCTCTCCCAAAGAGCCTCACCATGCCGTAGAGACAATCAGAAAAACGCAACAGTGCGGGAGTGAGAAGCGGGGGGACGGGGGGAAGCAGGGCCAGCACCTGCACAAGCACCAGCAACGGGAGGGAGAGAGGGAGGGAAGGAAGAGGGAGAGAGCTGGTGTGTGAACGAAGGCTGCGGGCAAATGGGAAAGCGAGAACGAGACAACGGAATTGCGGGGCAAAGGACAACGCGAACACCAGTGGAACAGTCTGCCTGCCTCACTCTGCCTCGCCATCCCCCTCCCTCCCCGGCTCCGCAAAGCGGGGCCCCGCCAGTCTGGCCGCCACCTCACGACTGTCAGCGGCATTCACCCATCCTCCTCCTCCGCCTTACCGCTCTCCCCCGCTCTGCCTCGAGGCGACGCGACACCCCCCTTAACTACCCAATTCCACGCACGCTCCCACGCTCCGTCCCTTGCCCTTGCTCCTTCCTGCCCCGGGTGCCGGACTGTCGCGCTCTCCGTTTCACACGCTCGCTTCCTTTTACATTCTGTTGCCCACATTCTTCAGTTGGGATCCTTCTTCCTCTTCTACTTCTTTGTACTTGTCATTTAGGGCAACACGCGAAATTATTCTGTGCGAGAAAACCCATATCCCCCCCCCAATTGCCCTCTCCGTGTCTCACTTATTCTACGGAAAACCTATCCCTTCGCATTCATTTTTTTAATGTTTTTTCGTTTGTTTTATTTTGTATTTGTTGTTCTCCATTCCTAAGGTCTTGGTAATGCGTTGAAATCCAAACCCCATTTTTCCAGGTTGAAAGGTTCCTGCCTCCGGAAGCAGACAGGATCTTCAGCTTCTACCCCCTCCTTACAAGACAAAAGAGTTGTGAGCTTTTCTAGACTGTATCTGGCAGTCGACACCATGCTCAAAGGGGAAACAAACGAGAGCTACTCGAAATCCCTTTCGGAACGAGAGCTGCGGGATAGCCAATAGCTATGCGTACCAGCACGAGATAAAAGACACGGGAGGGGACTTTGTCAGCAAAGTAGTAGGGGGGATCAACGTCCTAGTATATTTCATTTGAAGTATTTACTGTTGTGAATATACACACACACATGTGTCGTTTAACATGAACTCTTCATGTCTAGAAAGTAAATAAAAAATCTTGATCTGAGTACCCAAAATATTTATTGACTAAACACATAATCACATTATTATTTTTATTTTCTTTTTCTTCTTATTTTTGTATGGGCACAGGTCCATCATCCCCAATTGGGTGGGATTTTTTTGGACAAGCTCTATGGTGAAGGTTTATTTTCTCTTCATGGTTTTCTAAAATAAGAGGGGAGAGAGATGAGACTCAAATCAGAGTGGGGAACAATAGGGAACCAATTGGAACTTCAAGAAACGCAAGTGAACTGCGTTCAAAAGTTCACGAGAACCTGTGGGGGTTCGTGGAGGCAGGAGTCCATCATCGCCACAAACAAATTTGCCGTTTGTCTTCGACTGTGTGCTTACCGGGTTCGAATTTGATGGATGACAAGCTACTCTCCTTCGCTGCTGATGATGTTTGTAGATTTCCTCGCACGAGCTTCGTAGCGACTTCGTGTTGCGTAATGTTTCCCTGGTCAACACCACGGTGGTGGCGCCCACTGCGCCTCCTCACGAAGCACCCACAGCCCTCTATTCAGGTTTCTACGTTGGAAGGTGGAGAAATTGCATGAATGGTGTGGAATTCGTGTGCCGAGGTTTTGCGGAGAGTTTCTCGGATTTGGGAACAGTGGAATAGAGTGGGGCATGATGGTGCACGCGGAGCTGGTTGGGGCAGGATCTCCCACGCCTTCCCATGTCGTCGAGCAGCGCGACTTTGATGAGTTGATGTTGATGGATTGTCTGATGGATAGTTGTCGGGGGCTCATGTCGACCGATGTCTTGCAATTCGGGATAATCATTACCAGGCAACCGAATACCTAGAAGATTGTACATGTCGACGAATTTGATGTAGGCAATGACAAGAGTAGAACTATCCAGCAGGTGTGTTAACGCAAGTGACAATGGGCCGGATCACAGGGCTTCGTGTTCAATTAAGCGTGCTTTTTAGCAGGTGAATCTTCGAAGGAGATGATGGTTGTGCATGCTTCATGATGTGAAAAGCATGAGACGTGGCTTGAAAAATGCTTGTGACCATGTTTTCGGAGAACAGGATGAGAGCAGTCGAGCAATGAGCACTGAATTCTTTCGGAAATTTGCTTCTTGTCGAAAATGGGCAGGCTGTCTTTAACAAGCACTGTAACATGCTCTATCTGGGCAAGTCAATGGCCATATCGACAAAAAAGAGAGCCCAATGCAATCGTGTTCATTCAGTTGCCTGACACAACGATCCTAGAGTTCCACAAACTATAATTCAGCTCACACACGGGGGCTCAAAGGAACATAAATAGTTGGGAGTATGGCATTATTATTATTATTATTGTGTGATTTTGTGACTATTCAATGCTTCGAATATTCACAAGACCTTCACATTCCCTTGAGTGATGGAGATAACGGTTGAAATAAGAACATAGAAACCTTATCTCTTACGAACCTTTCAAGTGGACATGTCATTAGGAAACACGCGCTGTAAGCGTTGTAAAGACAACAGTTTACAGTTACTGAAAAACAAGGTTGAGGGAAAAAAACACAAAAAAACATTTTTAAAAAAAGGTGGGGGAAATTTAGTGAGCTATAAACTTGTCCTGAGGCAGTTCACTTTGAGCATTGCATATAAACAAATTCAGAACATCCTGCATGTGGGTCCTCTTAATTTGTTGACACATAGGATGAATCCGAAAAAGTTGTCCACAAATGAGTGTAAAACAACCGTTAGTGATTTGTTGTTGAATGCGTCTTTACTTCAAAGCCTGAATGGAATAAATTCACAAACAGTGATTTGTAACATCTAATGTTTCAATAAAGTGTGTTATTACTAAAGTGTTTGGTATTTTTTCAACCACAATGATTTTATTTTTATTTTATTTGTCAAGATTACAGCCAAACACGATAGTATTTGAAAGTCATTTAAACCGTTTAATTTTCTTTATACAACAATGAAATTCTCTATTATATAAAACAAAGTTGTGTTTAAATTGTCAAAAAAATCAATTTTGCATCCGATGTTGTTTAAAGACATAGGAAGTTCGATTAAAATTAAGAAACAAGGTAATTTTTTTCGTGATGTTTTGGAAATCTAATACAACTTGCTAAATCAACTTGCAATAATAATAATATTTACAAAGTTAAAGTGTGACAAGTTCAATGACTCATTGTAAACAGTGATGCATAACTTTTTTCTTTTCTAACACATTTTCATGTATAAATACTAAAAAAATACGTTTAAAAATTGTTTCTATAAAGTTTTAAAGCTTTAAGCCACATGCTTCGATAATACAGGATGTCACTATATGAAATTCTTTATATATTTATAAATTAAAAAAAATAATTGACCTAAAATATGGATTGTATTCTTTTAATAAATAGAGTGTCCAAAAATTATCTTGAAATATAAATAAATATACATTTAAAGTTAGTTTACACTACTTTAAACTTGACTTTTAGAAGCTATTTGAACTTTGGTTTATCAATTTATGGTACATCATCAATAGAAATCAATCCAACATTGTAATACAATAACAGAGAATTCAACACGTGTCTTATTTTAGATTCAAAATTAAGTGTTCCTGATGTGATTTTTTATTTTACAAAAACGAGTATAGATTATTTCAAATGGTAAATAGGTAATATTTAAAAATAACTTTGGATAGTGATGTCAGAAGCCGTGATTTGAAAGTTGACAAGTTTTAATTTTTAGATTATCATTATTTAAAAAAAATCAAATAAAATATGTGTTTATATCTAAAATATTATTACCAATGTCATTCATGCAACATGTTTGGCTTGCATCAATAGAATCATTTTATTTAAACAAAACATAAGCACAAAAAGTATAATTGGGTTATACTTACATCAAATGCATATGATCGTCTTAATTGAAATTTACAACTCCACTTAAATTTAATAATAACTAAATAAAATACCTACCATTCTCTAAAATGCCAATTGAAATCCAAAACAACTTTCAAAACACACTTCTTGAATTTTTTTTGTATTAGACTAATCATTCAACTAGTTTAATTGAAGTGTAATATATGTAGAATATGCGAAGAAATTTTAAATCTGATTATTCAAACTTTTAAAATTCCATAGTAGAACTGTCATCAACACACAGTCAAATTCAATGAGTATGAACTAAAATTTGCTAGTAGCCCCCACGGTAATGGGAGCACTATGACTAAAAATACCGTGATGTAGACATGGGCGACGCATTCACACTTCTGCAGTTACGGAGGTGGCGTGAACAGGGGAGCGAGAGTTCGAATCTGGAAAGCAACACAACATGAGAGTTCGGACGTTATCGTGAAGCGCTCGTGCGATGACTGTGGCCATTTCATTGCATTACGCTTCGTTTTCTAGGGCTTTCTGTCTACGAACCTCTCCCTGTGGACGCACACCCACTCCTTGCTCTTCTTCCTCCACGCCAATCTCGTCACCTCTTCGGCGTCTCCCCGCCCCTGGCCGACGCCGCTCCGCCTGCTCTCCGCTCCCTTGTTCAAATTTCAAATTTAGCCTCCAGGCGCTTTCATTTGACGTTTTACTCGCTCCCTTCGGTGCGGTCCCGCGTATGCACGGTGTATTTTCCCAACTGCGCGTTAGTAATCTCCTGTGTCGGGGCGCATTAAGGCAATTCGATGCGGTTTGGACGATGACATGGTTGCATGGTGCGGTGGTGAGCTTTGACGAAGCGGCTTGTGTGATTTCGTAATTGCAGTTGAAGTTAGAAGGCAGTGTATGTATTTGTGCTGTTTTTATGGCTAGGGTTTTCCTGATGTGATTTCCCCCTGAGAATCGGAAATTGAGATGGCTGAGTTTTTCTGCCCGTGTTTTTATAGGTGCAAGTGCAGAAACTATGTTTCTTGTCTGCCGACCTGCTCGGACTACCTTGTCGAGGTCGGTTTTGAGGAGGTCGTAGCTTATAGGCCCTTCTTAGTTTGACAATGATTCTGATGCAAATTCTCCATTAGATTTTTTCGGCACATGTTTGGCGCGCTTGTTTCTTCTCTTATACCTACGCTCACTTACTTACTTTCGAATATTGCGATTTTTTTCAGGTTTTGTTTGATGATCTGAGAACTTTTCACATGTGATATCTTGGCAAACCTTGACCAGGGCGGAGATCTCTTCGCTTGAGATGTGTATGAAATTCCGTCATCTCTGTTGGGAAGCGGAATCGTAAAGAGGGAAAAGAGGTTTTAGTTTGTTTTTGACAAGAATCCCTGGAAGATTTAGGAAGGGCTTTCTCTAGTCATAGGTTTGGGACTCGTTTTATAATTTGGACAGAATTCCTTTTTATCCACCTTCTCCGTTTCTCATTGTAGTTTTAAAATTAACCCCCTCCCCCTCTTCTTCTTCTTCTTCTTCTTCTTCTTTTTCTTTTTTCTTTTTATAATTCGGAGCTTTGCTGCACAGGATGAGTTCTCAGGAAGTACAAACTTGCGGGAAACCTCTGGATACTCTTATTGAGAGGGTGCTATGTACGAACATATTGTCGTCAGATTACTTCAAAGAGCTCTTCAGCCTGAAGACATACCTTGAGATCGTAGACGAGATTTATAATCATGTAGATCACGTTGAGCCATGGATGACTGGGAATTGCCGGGGCCCATCTACTGCGTTTTGTTTACTCTACAAGCTTTTTACGATGAAATTCACTGTGAAGCAGATGCAAGATATCCTGGATCATCCAGATTCTCCTTATATTCGTGCCCTAGGGTTTTTGTACCTAAGGTACGTTGGAGACCCGAAGACTCTGTGGGATTGGTTTGAACCATATGTTGAGGATACAGAAGAATTTTCTCCTGGTTCCAACGGCAAAATGACTACCATGGGTGTATATGTTCGGGATATAATTTTGAATCAGTATTATTTTGACACCCTTTTCCCTCGCATACCTGTGCCTATTCTACGACAAATTACTGCTTGTCTTGAACGTATGAAGCTTCCAACCCAACCCTCGGGAATCACTGGGAACAGTAGTCGGCATGGTGCAGACGAAACAGCTAGAAGACCGCCCTCGGTTAAGGCAGCCTTATCTGTGTCTTTCGGGCAGCGGGCTCCTCACCGGGCATTTACTCGAGATGCTTCTCCTGTTCGCCGAATTGCTCCTGTTCGGGAGGCAGCAGGTGCGGACGGCGTAAGGGATAAAAATGGGGATTATGGTCGTGACAAAAGGAGCTCTCGGGATAGGGAAAGGCGTGACAGCGAAGCTCGGGATCGTGGCCGCGCTGGGGAGCAGGAGAAGGACAGGGCCAGCGAAAGAGAGAGAGAAAGAAGTAGAGATTACGATCGTGAAGGGAGTCGTGGAAGGGTTCGAGATGACAGGGATAGAGACGATGATCGAGATTATTCCAGATACAGGGACGTGGACAGAAATCGAGACAGTGAACGCGACAGAGCAAGGACTAGAGATAGAGGATGGGAGAGGGATGATGACAGGTCCAGGGACAGGAGGAGAGACCGAAGCCCTGATAGGAGTCGGGCAAGAGAACGAAGGTATGACGGTGATCGGCGACGAAGTCGTAGTCGCAGCCCTGCTCATCACAACAGAGGGGCAGATCGCGACAGATCAAGAAGTCCTGGAAGAGCTGCTCCAGCGTCTAATAACCTCAAGAAGTTGCTGGATGTCTATGGAGATGCCAGCCACACAAAGAGTGAGAACGCTACCAACAGTGGTTTCAATTCAAAAGCGTCAGTTGATGATGATGTGATTCATCTTGGCAGCTCGAGATGGAGATAGTTAGGTTCTTAAGGAATGTGTGCTCCGGTGTGGACCTTGCTTGCGGAGTTTCTTAGACTGATAACAGGACCCATGTTGACGAGTGATTAGCTGCCTCCAACTTTGAGTAGTGGCACCGGATGGAAGCTTCCGGTGGTTTGCTATTCTTAATCCTTACTTAAGACAGTCATTTTCCATTTCTATGATGGCTTCATGAATAATGGACATGCAAATGTGTGGGTATGCTGTATCACTCTACAGCCCAGCCTGTCAGTTGCGTCTTGGCCTTTTTCGCCCTTTTCAGTTGCTGCGCACGAGATTTTAGGTAGCCGCAGAAAGATTAGCTTTCATAGTGGATGAAGCATTGACGGGATGGTGTGTGGGGTTTCAAGTACCACCAGCATCATCGGTGTGGTGAGTGTTTCTTATTTTCAATTCTTTTCTTTGGTATTTGGGTCATGTGATTGTGGGTGGTCCGCGTGTGGTATATGGGGCTGATTTGACGAGTACAATCTGCTCGTTGTGTTTCAATGGAACTTTATGGACGTAGAAATAGGAGTGCTGGGTTGTCTTAATGGTTTTCATTGGAACTAATGCAAGTTTCATTGTTTCTTGTTTCATTCGGTCTATTCTTCAACAAACTGGATGAATTTATCGAGCTTTGGTTCTACCGAAGGCAAGTAGGACCTTATCCAGTGACCCGAATGTACTAAAATGGAGGAGGTAGCTCCTGGTAGATCTTGTGCCTTTGTACATATGTTGCCTGTAATGGTGGCTTCAGTTGTCACACTTGATAATGGTAAGTCGTTATATTTAGCTCGTTTTTGTGACACTAATCATCTGAAGTTTCCACTATGCCTCCAGTGAAGAGACGCCTCAAGGGCTCGTATCAATTCCAGTATCAGCTTGTCATGGACGTTTGTCTTTCATGGAGCAACTGGAGATTCCTTTTAAGCTATGCTATGATGCACCTACCGTTGTGCATGTCTGTAACACGGTAATAAAGTCTGGATCTTACTGTCACCATTACATGTAATTACCTCTTTTGCTGAAGTGTACCTGTGTTGGGAAAGGTCGTTGGTCTTGTTCATTCCATGTTGCTTTTTTGGGAGTAGCTGCCTCCTAAGTCTCAACTTTGTGGATTTGATCATGTAGCGTGTTAGTTTCTTGCTGAAAACCAGAGTGTGTTTGTGTGATATTTTATGTGCTTATTTTGACCCCTTAAGATTCAAGCATTATACGTGCACTGATACACTGATTTCTCTAAGTATAGCTAAAATAGTTTCCACGTTAAACGTCGATTGTCAAGTACAGAAGAAAATGATAATCATCCACTAATTATCAGTGTAATGTGCCTCAAATGTGCAACGTTGGATATGTTGCAGTTGTCGATTTGTAAGATTCTCAAAATATCTTATTTGTTTGAACTAAGTAGCAAACGTGAAAGAAATATCTCACACAAAACTTCACTATTATTGAAATTGAAATTATTCTAACATTAAGATTATGTTAACATGAGAATGACATTGACAATTCATAGATTTTGATGCGACAGTTTTTGAAGGAATCTTTTGGCAGTGAAGTGGTTTCTTCTAAAACCATTTGTGAATTTTAATCAAAACATCCAATTTCTTCATACAAATTTAATAATGTAATCTATTGTTTTCATATGAATGCTTTAAAATCTTCTTTTGTCCATATGGAAATATATGGATATAGAAGATAGAATTAAGTCTAGTAAATATATAAGGGTTGGCATTGGTTTTTGGACAAAACCAAAAAAATTGTAAGAGCTAAGTATAAAAAATACATGTTGATAGTTAATCATATTGCTACAAAAAGGTATGATTCTAAGTACCATACACCTTTGTTTTCTTTTGTTTTATATTACACACAATAAATAAACTTCTTTGTTGATTTATTGAAATCAATCATAATAAAATAGCCTTGTTATTAAGGCTTTGATATTTGACATTTAAGGTAATTTGTTTTTTTCTGGCACAACTATATATTATTTCAAATTTCTTGAGATATTTCACTTTATTTAGAAGCCTCATATGAATAAGAAATTTAGTCTTTTGCAATTAAGTTTTATCATAATCTACTATCCTATATTAAATTATTTTCTCTACCTTTGTATTCATTCAAAGGTTTTGTCTACGATCTTATCATCTTGTTATTCTTATACTGTTTATAAACAAGATCCAATGACATGTGGCTATATCTTTATATCTTTGATATGTGTGTGTACTTCTCAAGAGATTGCTTTTTAGAAAATAAGGATTAGTCTTGCCAAATTGTTTTGACCTTAATAAGAAAAATATTGTATAAGTATTTTACTTTCTAATTCAAAATTCTTTTAAATATTCGAACTAATTCCTAAGCACACAAGATGTACAAGTTATTGATTTAATTGCTACACATTATTATAAATGTATTAATTAATATTATTTGGTTTTAAGTAATCAAAATTAAAATTGATTATGTTTTGGTACTAATCTTGTTTTATTGAAATTTCAAATTCATATTAAAATTTAGAAACATTTTACTATGCCAATTTCTTTATTGGATAGGAGTAGAAAAATCTAATTTTGTTGCAACTTTCTACTATTCTTTGGATATTTTTTTTTTAACATAATAATTACTTTTCTGTGAAAAGTTTTTAGAATTAAAATCTAAATTCTTTATCAATCTACAAAAAGTTGAAAGATTTTTATATGCAAATTAAATGCTTTGCTACTCAACTATTTTGCATAGTATATATATATATATATATATATATATATATATATATATATATATATAGATTCTTTAAATTATAGAATCAAGAATCTTTAAATATCATCTATCTATTTGGCATTACTTGGCCCTCTATCTACTTTCTATGGTATGAGATATTGAAATTTATCCATTTGTATATGATTTCAATTGGTTTACTTTAATGTATAAAGGTTTTGATGTGAAAGTGAGGATAGAAAGAGAGAGAGATTTTTGAATGTTTAATCACACTAGCCTTATTGTCTAAGCTTATTCTCAACCTAATTAGAAGAGAATAATAGACATTAAGTTGTTTTGAGATTATGTTCAAGTCAATTGTAAGTATTGCATTAAAAAAAACTAATTGTATTCCCTTTATCTTTTCTATTTTTTTAGTAAAGAAGCAATTCTTATGCATAAAAAATAAATTTTAGTTTGAAATAGAAGCTTCAACAATTATTGCTTTAAAAAAATCATCCTGTATCTTAATTAATAGTTCTAGCATTTGATATTCTATATTTATGTTTCTAATGAAAGACCTTTTAATTGACTAAAATGTGAAGTTTTTTTTACCTAGTATTATGTTTTGTAGAGGTCTTTATGTTAGTATGGTTTCAATTGGTATGTTGTTTTGACTTTTGGATACGTCCATAACAAACTTGAGCATGTAATGCTATTTTCTTGTGTTGAGGTTGAATGGTTTTACATCTTTGTGATTTATTTTCTTTTCTTTTATTTATTTATTTTTTTACATGTTGTCTTTTGCAATTGTTATCTATATTTTTATATCTAATCAATTTTTTTCTTGCAAGGGACTTAGATATTGAGCATGTTTACAAATGTCTAAAAAAACAAGCTTAAAGGTATTAGTGGTTTAATATTACACCACATATTGTTTGATTATTTTTAAAACTAAATTAGTACTGAATATATCAGTGTATTACAGTAGTCAAATATGTGTAATAATTGTTAGTTGTTGAATCAAACCTATACTTTTAATTCTTATGACAGGTTTTAATTTATCAACAAAAATAATAATAGTAATAAAAATATATATTTATTTGCTAAAATAATGTAGCTCTTAAATTGTTAAGTGGTGGTGTGTCATTTCTATATTGGTATAATAAATTAGATTGAAATTTTAAAGTTCTTTCTTAATAGTTAGAATCTTATGCAATAAATAAGAATATTATATAATTATAGATTGATGTGCTAAAAAACCAATCTTTTCTATCTTTTGCTTCATTCTTCTTAAATCTACAATGGTCTTATCTCAAATTTTAACCTTTTTAGATGTATTACTATAAGAGACTCTATCTATATTTTATTATCTTATTGATTACAGAAATCTTATAGATTTGGAATCTATTTGTAATTTAGATTGTATTAACATGAAAACTTATAATTCGAAGTTAAGCTTGTGCTACATATATTGGTTTTATCTTCATTGTTATCTATCACAACTAATTATTATATATTATTGATCCAAATATTTTTAATTCTTATTTTTCTTCATTAGAGAGCATCTATAATTGAAAGAAGTAACTTGTCATTGTTGAAAGACCTTATGAATAGTACGTATGAATGTTATTTTGGTTTATGTAAAAATAAATCTATTATAATATTTTTATATTTTTCCAAAAAATTTTATTTTCATAATTCAAAGATATAATTTGAGTTATATGGTGCTTAGATGTTTTTTTTAATATTTCCAAGGTTTTATATTTTTAGATCCTATAATAGATTTTCATAAAATATTTAAATTTAATTGATTTGAAATTATAATCTATTATCATATATATATATATATACACACACTTTGATAATATAATTTTTATTTGAAGGTTTTATCATTTCTTTTAATTTAGCATAATAAAAAAATAGAAATTTAACTTATAAATATTGTTGTTATCATTTTCTAGAAATACATCTAATTTCTTGACTAAAGTTCCATTAACTATTCTAAATTTATTTAAAAGCTTTTTAAAGATAATTTAAGTTAGAATTCAAGCATGACTATATCTTGAATATAGATCATATGGATCAAAATGTGGTATTTATTCTAATATATTATAGTTTCAAGTTGAGATTTTTAAGGATTAAAATAATATATATATTTTTAATTTTTGGAATGTTTATTTTTGTAAAGAAGTTGTCTTTGCCAATTTTTAAAGATATTTCAATTTTTCTTGGTTATTTAGAAATAAAATATTTAGATGTTAGATTTGAAAATTTCTCCTTTTAAAATCTAATTATGATTGTAAATTATTCTATATATCTTATTAGTTGTTTATAATCTCTATGTCTATTTTAAAGATGTGATTAGAATAAAAATAAAAATAAAAAAACTCAAAAATATAGTTAATATTTCTATTCTTGATATTGCATTATACAAAAAAAAAATCTATTCTATCTATTAAAGACAAGAATTTAGACAAAACTCAAAAGTTAATATATTTATATGTCATTGACAAAGGAAAAAAGTTATAAAAGAAGATATAGATATAAGATAGAAAAAATTGCAAAGATTCTTATCAAATACAAAGAAATTAGAAAGTCCTAAATTAAGATTTAAAGACAAGAAAGATATTTATAAGACTAAGAATGGCCTCATTCTTGTCTCCATATATACTAGCTACCAAAAAAGCCTTGTGAAAGCTTTCTAAGGACTATGAGACTTATAGCCTAAGCATCAAGTTGTAGGTTACTTCCAATATTGCTTCCAAAAAGTGTGAAATTTGTGAGACAGGTTTTAGTAGCCAATTTAATTTAATTTAATTTAATCTAATTTGTGTTCAAAAAGCTTTCTTAAAGTTTCACTAAGGAAGATATTATCTATATAACATATTGTACATATTTCTACTTGCGTATATTTACTTAAATAGTATATGTATTTCTTACATCATCCTCCTTTGTTGTTTGAGCAATATTTTTGCTACTTCATACTTCCTCCAAATTTTTTGATTGATCTACTTATGATCATACGTTGGATGTTATTATGTCTTGATTTTTTACATGCTAAATGTCCCTAGTGGTAACAACATAAAACTTTATTATATGATAATAAATTCCTTTTTTTGCATCATTTTTATGAACATAGATTACTTGTATTTCCAATTGGAATTATACTTGTATAGGTGTAGATTCTTATTTCTTTCTCTCCCTTTTTACTTTTTACTCAAGTATAATCCAATTATATCTTATCTTAATTAACAACCGTGATTTAAACTTTGGTTGGCACCTTTATCAAAACCTAAATTATGGGTAGGAGTTAACAATCAACCAAAGCCAATTGCCAAGCAAAAATCAAGTTAAATAAAGAACAATTGAAGTTGTAGTAAACCTTAGTTGAAAAGAATACCATTCATCCGCCTCCCTCTCTGAGATGGGCCCTCGTCGTCTAGGTGTCGCACTCTGGTGAGCACATGGCCGAACATGGAGAGGGTGGCTCACGATCCCGACCTCCTCCGTCACGCCGATGCGACCATTTGCCCCTACCTTCCTTCCATCGCATCGCGCTTTCGCTGATTCCTGCCAATCTAGTTGCCGAGCTCGTGCCAACGAGCATTTACGCGAATAGCATAGTGGAGGGGTCGGTACGCACCGTGCTCGTCCTCTGGAAAAGCTTGAAACGCGTGTGGTGGTGAATGTGTTCGCGAGAAGGCCTGGATTGCTGAAGTATCCTGCGCGTCCTGCTGATAAGCAACAGTTGGGATTGCGTCGCAAGGAACAACTGGAGAATTTGCGAGTATAGGTACTAGGGTTGAGTTGAGCAGTGAGGTTCATGGAATGCATGGTGACGAGAGAAGATTGCAAGTATTATGATAACCTGAGGTGAAGGTTGGCGGAAGCGTAAGTAGTGGAGAGGGTTTTTTCGAGGGCAATTACGATACATTGCTCCTCGTTAGCTTGGAGCTTAGTTGTAGTAGAGATGCTTAGGCGGATGGTGAGGAAGGCGGTGCAGGCAAGCAAATCGCTTCCTGGTGCAGAAATCCGTGGATCGGGCGTGCTCACAGTATTTTCAAGGGTATTGCCACGCGCTTGGGTCTAAATTGTGATGCGATTTTACATCTGGTTAATCACTGCCATGCCAATTCCATGGCGTCATTCTTTCTTAGAATGCTTTGCAATGTTTAGCAATTGCGTAACTTAGGGTGCGTGCATTTTTTTTACATTCATGACAACATTAATTCTCATAAATTTGTATAGAAAATTCAGCTGTGGCAAGCCACTTGAGTGCGTAATGCACTCGAAACCTAGTTTACAAGGTCAACTTTAAGTTTCGCAGCCGTGATTAGTGTGCTCAACTCGGTTGATCACATGGGTTCTGATACTCCCACTTGATCCTGCACCTGTTATCAGAAAATAATCAATAACAAGTAGCTTGTGATTACATCGGCTACCCTTGTTACTTGAATCTCGTCTCCATTGTGTAGTTGCTATTCTTACATTGGCTTACGTTTATCTGAACTACAGTGAACCATCCCCACAGGATGCTAATGTAACTGTTGGTAGTACAACTTTTGGGGCCTTGCAGAGCGGCATTGACATAGCGTTGGAAAATGCGAGTGGGAATCAGTGGAGGTTGCTTGGGAATCATCACAATTTTACCTTTAAATCATGTGGTAGAGTTTCGAATGAGCTTTTTAATCATGACCTTTTAGTCCAATTCAAGAATGTGGAATATTGTTTATGATAAAATGCAGCCCCATTGTCAAAACTGCTCATTTGGCCAACTAGTGTTTAACATAGGACTTCTGAAACCTCACATTGTTTATTTCTTACGACTAAATTTTGTACTAATCACACAGTACAGACTTGCCAAGGCATGCCCAAGTGGCCTAGTATTAGACACTTATTATTCACTGCCTTATCCTTAAATTGATCGGTATGAGTTTGTTCAGGGGATGTAAGACCATGTGGCGATTCTGCGCTAGACTTATTGCACAAGCATGGTGCAGTGAGTTGCTTTCTACTTCTTCTCTTCTTCTGCTATATTTTTCAAAATTCTTTGTTTATTTGTAATTATTTCTGATCTCCTTTTGTCATTTTTCGGTTTTATGACTGCTTCTGCAAAGTACATGTGTAACTGAAAGTTAGACAATTATATTCAACAATCTATTATTTTCAGGAGGAAAATTTCAGAAGATGCTTATATACCAGAGCTCGTCAGCACAACGCTGGGTCTCCTTCGATAACACCTGGATTATACTCACATTCACCGCCATCTTCTGTCGATGGCTCGAAGAGCAAGCCTTCCAAGGGTAGTAAACTTGACATGCCAGTGAAAGTTGATCCAGAGATAATTGTGGCTGATGCAAGGATTCTGAGATCGCTAGCATCATACTTGTGGCCCAAGGACAACCCTGAATTTCGTAGGAGAGTGGCTTTTGCTTTGATCCTCCTCGTTGGTTCCAAGGTGCAGTTTTTATCTAATTGTATTGCTTGGTAAGTGTTCCATGATGTAGGAATTAAGAATGTTGTGATTGCTGAAGGATGTTATTGAACCAGGATAAGTAACCATTTCTTTTATGCAGGTGTTGAATGTGCAAGTTCCCTTCATGTTCAAGTATGCTGTTGATGCTTTGTCCACTGCTGCTGGAGCAACCGGGGCAACAGCTGTAGCATCATCCTTGCTATTTGTTACACCAACAGCGGTTCTTCTTGGATACGGAATTGCTCGAACTGGTGCTTCGGCATGCAACGGTGAGGGGTCATCATATAGTGGATTGCTTTTGGTATGTTAAGCTTGATTAGGCAAGTGTGGAGAATCGAATCAGTGAAATTTACTTTTATACAGAAACCACTAGATTTTCCGACTTGAAATTTTGAAATATTTGTCTGTTGATTACTGTGCCTGTAGCACCTACAGCTATGAATTGCTTCACTGTATTTGACTTTCTCACGTTTTAATTTTTAAGTTACAAGAAAATCTGCAATGTGTTGGAACTAGAGCTGCGAAACTCGGTGTTTGCCAAGGTCGCCCAAGGCACAATACGGACTGTGGCTCGCAAGGTGGAACCTTTGTAGCAGTTTTTGATATCTTCGAACTTGTTTTGCAACCTTTTTGCGACTTCACGATTAGTAATTTTCTGTTCAGTTGAGAGATCTTTTGGGTTATTTTTGGCAAGCATACTTCAGTTGCATACATCGTGATTTGAAATGGTGGATATCGTTTGTTGAAATAGGTATTTATGCATCTTCACGACCTGGATTTGAGCTATCACTTGAGGTATTTTCAATGGTTTGACTTATGTGCTTAGATCAAGCTGCAGGTGTCGTGCTCTTGTGGTGAAGGCAATGATTTATTTTTGAAGAAGTCTATGTTTTAATTTTATTGTACTTTGATTGATTTTCTTAGATATGTTGGTGAACTTTATTTCTATTTATCTCATGCAGTCGACAGACAGGATCGCTTAATCTCATAATTGATAGAGGCACTCGAGCTATCAACTTTATTCTCTCTTCCATGGTTTTTAATGTGGTGCCGATTCTTTTAGAGGTGCGCATACAATAGAATATCCTGTTCTGTCCTTATGTTTGATCTTTCGATTGCATATTTTATGACTTAGATGATGTTGAAGCCTTGATGCTAGATATCGTGTCAATCATGAAAGTGGTGTCACTGTTAGAAACTGTAATTGTCTTAAATAATTTTGATATTGGTTATGAAGGCAGTTTCAAAAACTTAGCTTGCATCCTGCTTTTTGTGCAGATATCAATGGTGGCTGGAATACTGGCATACAAATTTGGAGCTCCATTTGCATGGATCACGTCTCTTACCGTGGCTGCTTATACTCTTTTCACATTGTCTGTAACGCAGGCAGGATTCTCTATTATGCCTTGCTTTCATGTTTTAGGTCCATACTCAATACAGATTAGTTGATTCCGAGGTTAGCTTAGAATTACATTTGTCCTCATTTCATGTAGCACTGAACATGCAGTTTTTTTGTGAAGCATTTTAACCATATAGGTAATTCATGAACACACGGAAAGGTGATTTGTTCTCCTTTAGATTCGTGTTTCATGAGCGCAGCTTACTGTTGGGTTTTGTTATGGCTGCAGTGGCGGACCAAATTTAGACAGGATATGAATAAAGCTGACAATGCAGCTAGTTCACGTGCGACAGACTCTCTTATCAACTATGAGGTGAATATTTACTATACTGAAATCTCTCTTTTTCTCTCTTTTCCGGAAGAGCCATTTGGAAGTTGCGATTGGTCTGCCTGTCTGGAGTGTAATTGTTAATCACTAGAATTTGACACCTAATCAGTTTTTAGTGCTGAATTGCATTCGTGATAAACGCAACCGCGTACTGCTGTTGTTGCTTTCTTTAGCGGTACATGAGGAGAGCTTGTGTGATTGCAGACTGTGAAGTATTTTAACAATGAAGAACACGAAGCAAACAGATATGATGACTTCCTTAAAAGTAAGTGATGTTCTTTAGTACGATTTTGAGGGTTTTATCTGGTAGAGACTTCTACTTATATATTTGCGTTGCCTTGATGTCCTTTAATTACACTTCTTATTGGAACAAGTACGAATACTTTGTTGAAGGATTTCTGTAATACGTACTAGATTTCCTCCACGGAGTAGGCAGTCTATTTTATCCACATGTAATATCGTGCTTGGAAATATACAATCAATTTAATCAGACAGTAGCATGCTGAAGATTATACCTACAGTTCAGCATCGCCAGTTTATTTAACAAAGTAGGATCATTTGGAGTTACCACTTGTGCCACATCAGATCATCTCTTTCAGTCGAGATGGCATTGATGTCCTATTTATCTTTTTCAGAGTATGAAGATGCTGCTTTGAAAACTCAAACAAGCTTGTCGTCATTAAATTTTGGACAGAACGCAATCTTTAGCGCCGCTCTGTCTACTGCCATGATTATGTGTAGTCAGGGTATTCTCGATGGAACAATGAGCATAGGAGATTTGGCATGACATCATTGCACTTACGAAAGGACACCTTTTTGCTCTATGATTTCTTTCCTGTGATTTGAGCATTTCTCCTAACTTGGTTGCTAGATTTTATGATTGAATTTTGGTTCGTTGTTTCAGGTCTTAATGATTGGGTGAAATAGGATATTAAAAAAAACATTAATAATTTTGAAAACAGAAACAAAAAGCTTTGGGCATCTTGTTACTATTGCCGCCTCACTTGTTAAAGCTGAGTTTCTACGATCCTTCCTGCACTGTTAACATACTAACCACATAGTGATTGTGATTTTTTTTCCTATCACAGGTGATGGTGAATGGTTTGCTGTTCCAGTTATCACTACCGTTAAATTTCTTGGGTACAGTATACAGGGAAACACGTCAGAGTCTGATAGATATGCACTCCATGTTCTCTTTACTTGAGGTATGATATGTCACTTTTGAGTTGATACTTCTGATGAGCTTTGCCTGAAAACTTAAGTATTATGAGAGTAAGAGTGCAGCTATACATTCCTGTCCGATTTGATGGGGGGGGGGGGGATTGCCTTGTTTTGAAGGTGAATTACAATCATTGGGTTGGTTGAGCAGGTGAAAGCAAGCGTTGCCGATGGACCTTACGCGAAGCCTCTACAGTTAAAAGGTGGTACCATTTCTTTCGATAACGTACATTTTGGGTGCGTTCCTTCACTTAATAACTATGGTCTGTTTGCATCAAGTCATTTAGGTTGCTATTGATTTTCTTGTTAGGGATCTGTGGAGATACGAATGCATTGAAAACACTAAATGCATCGATGTGGAACAGGTATCTTACAGACAGGTCCATTCTCAATGGAATCTCGTTCGATGTTCCTGCTGGAAATAGTGTGGCTATTGTCGGCACTAGTGGGAGTGGTAACAGTTCCTATCAACTCACATATTTGTGGATTTGAAGTTTTGTACCTTTGGATAGATCTTTTTCTTGATCAGAAGGGATGATGTGTTCTGATTGTATGTTCTATACTGAAAATGGACAGGAAAATCTACAATTTTGAGGTTGCTCTACAGATTTTTCGACTGTGACTCTGGATCAGTGAGTTCTCATTTTGAACTCGTTTATTAATTTCCTAGACTTTCACAAATTCGTCTAGGATTCAATATCCTAGGTACGTGTTTATAACGCTGTCGCTTGTAGTTCCTCTTGATGAATGCCTTACGTACGTTTCTTCCTCTTCTCCTTCTTCTATTCTTTTTTTTTTCTTATCCGAGCTTGTTGTTTGGGTACCACGTTGGTAGTACTTATTGCTGATTTGGATGTGTGTAGCTCAAAATTGATGATCAAGATGTGCGTGATGTGACCCTCGACAGACTACGGAGTTGCATGGGTGTTGTCCCCCAAGATACGGTATGGTACAGGGTGCATGCTGGCTGCTGAGGTCTCGTCTAAAGTGTTTTTCAAGGCACAGCTGGCGATTGATTGTCTGTAATGCTTATCAGATATAATTTCGAGATGGTTTTTGTAGTTTATGCCTCACTATCCTCAATGATAGATTCTCAAAAATCTTTGCTGAATGTACATTCTTTTTGTGAAGTTTCTACTCTCCTAGAGAGCTTTGTTCACCTTGTTTCCTTGAAACCTGTTTTTTCTTCAGGTTTTATTCAATGATACAATTTTCTACAATATTCAGTATGGCCGAATGACGGCCTCCAAAGAAGAGGTTGTTTTCCTCTTATCCAGGCGTGACTTTTGTGGTAAATTGGTCTGTCAAGTGTTCGACACCCTCGTTTGCACACTCGACTGAACTTCTGTTGTTGGTATATTGGAGCAGGTGATTGAGGCAGCTAGGCAGGCAGCTATTCATGACGTCATTATGAGGTTTCCGGATCAATACGAAACTCGAGTTGGAGAACGAGGCCTGAAGGTCACCCTTATTTTAACGTAGTAGTTGGAAGTTCTTTTTGAATACTGCTGACTAATTGATTGTCACTGTCTTTGTTAATGCAACTTAATAGTTCCTGCAGATGTGAAATCAACTTGGTGGGGTGGTATGTCACTACCTAAGTGTGAGGTATTAGGTTATTTATAAACATTCCAAGGATCTCCATTAATTTTGTTGAAGCGATGGATCTCTGAACGACAGTTGGGTACACTTGCAGCTTAGTGGAGGGGAGAAGCAGCGTGTTGCATTAGCTCGAGCTTTCTTAAAAGCGTCCCCTATATTGTGAGTTTGTTTTAACTACTCATTTCTTTTCTTAATATCATGTGTTAGCCTGAATAAAGAGACTCTGTTATGTGTTTTAGGGGCACAATAGGTTTCCAAGGCGAAACAGAAGATAGCTTTCAAGTATTTCTTCATTTCTCTTAGCTGTGTTAAAGCTGGTCCCTAAAGTACCCTCTTCTGTACAGTTTTAACCTTATTACTAGTAGATTGATTGTTTTTTTCTCATGTTGTGATGCATGGAAGACTTTGTGATGAAGCAACAAGTGCGCTGGATAGTTCAACTGAGGGAGAAATCCTGGCCTCGTTGCGATCTTTGGCTAGCAACCGAACCGCAATCTTCATTGCCCATCGGCTGACTACAGCGATGCAGTGTGATGAGGTAAACTCGTAGTCACAATGGTGGAATGTTGGCTTCATTGAAGTGTGGGAATTTAGATTAGTCGTTTTTCACTTGCAAGATGATATTATGCTTTAGATGTGTGATCTTGATCGTTTTTGCTCCAGATTGTCGTTTTGGAAGAAGGTCGTGTTGTGGAGAGAGGCAGCCATGAGGTTTTGCTTGGGAATAATGGCCGATACGCCCAACTCTGGAATCAACAGAACATCATCGACGGAGGTTCTGATGTTGACAAACTCAACGAAGCATTTTAGTTGTTTTCAAATATCTTCACGAATCCATGATTACAGTGATTCCATGGTTTTTTGTAGAAGCGTCACTTTTGATAGCCTTGCATAAGATGACAGAAGGTATCATCTTTCAATACCTTTGCTGTTGAATGAATATCCGCTGTGAAAGGTGCAGTGGTGAATTCCTTGATTCTTTTTACCATTAGAAATGTTGGAGACTGTATATAGTGTTCTCAGAACACGAGAAAATGGGTTCTGAAATTCAGAAAGCATTTCTTGGGACTAGAGTTTTCTGGGATGAGAGTTGAATCTCCTTAGATCCTGGATTGAGAAAGTTCTCTTGAGCAGTTATAAGGCATCAAATCACCAAATTCACATGGTGATGAATTGTTTGAGAAAACTTCACAAAATCTTGTTTTCTCGGCCAAGTAAATCTGGTTTCAAACTCTCACAGCCTGGGCCATTTCGAGGTTAAACCTGACTACTAATCAAGCTTGAATAAGCTTACGAGCGTAATGCTAAATTTAGCCGAATAGAACCATTCAAGGATCAGCACAGTGTAGTGAAGAAATACATCAGAAAGCACCACAATTTGGCTGTGATTGATGCTTTCACTACAACAGCGTTTCTGTGATGGAAACATCGTTTTGTGATTCTTTTACTATTGTTAGCGGCTTCGGATCGTCAAAGTGTGACGTGCAGTTCTGGATACAATCATTCTTTTGTCTCCACCTTAGAAAGTGGGGTTCATTTAAAGGAAAGTATACAAGTAAGCTACATCTATTAATACAAAAGGATCTGCAATAACGTCCCGGAAAAACTTGGAACCCCAAGCAAGCTTGAGTCTCTTCGTGGTTGCAGGTTTAGGAGATGTGGAGCATCCTCAAAGTTAAACCAAGTGGGAGTGTTTCTCAAGTTTGACATTTCGCTGGCATATCCTTTTGTGGAACCATAAATAAAGCATGAATATCAAATTATGCTTAAAAGAAAAAAATGTTTAGGCTCAAGTCATGGACCTATACCACCTCTAAAGTAGTAAATGTATATAAGCAATAAATTTACTAAATGTATAAACTATTTCTATGATTTTAATGAATAAAGTTGAAATAATAATTTTTCAAAAATTAGAAGTAATAAATTTGTAAGTTAAAAATAAGTCACGTATGAAAAGCTTTTATTGTGAATTTAAGATCCATTCAATTTATTTTTATTTTTATTCACTAAATCAAAATTGATGGATGTAAAGGATAATTTGTGCATAGATTAAACTTTAAATACAGATTTATTTTACAATATTGCCACGAATTTTTCAAAATCAAGATATTCTTCTACATCGACAAATTTGTTTAAAAATATTTCTGCATTAAGTTGTTTAATAGTGAATTTGCACTGGTATATGTGGTTAAATTCATACTACCTAATATTATTAATTGTAATATGGTAAAAAATTAATGCAATGTTTATATCTGGTTGCCAACCATTAATGTAACGTTTGTCCATTAAAAAGATAATATTTAAAAGCAGGTTTTTATTTGACCAAATAAAGAATATTGACGAAATTCTTTTTGAGAAAAATAAAATAAAATATAGATTGAAACATTCAATGCAAATAGATAAGAAGGGCTCCATTTGTTTCAAGGCAATAATTACGAGTTTGACTTATAAACAAGAATTGCATTTTTCAAATTCTAAATATACAATAGATGTTATATATGTGACATAAAACATACTTATTCTTTAGTAATGAAATTAGAAATATATGAACTTGATTAGAAATAAAATAAAATAAAATAAAATAAAAACAAAATTTATTTTTATGCTTAAACGAAATTGATTTAAAAACATGCTTTTTAAAATTCGACACACTTCTCCATTTTTCTGTCTTGATATTTGTGTTGATTGTTTTGTTTCTATATTTAGAATAGAAATAAGAAAATATGAATGTTTCCTTGATCAGTAAAGAGACCTTGGAAAATAAAAGAAAATGAACCAGATAATGAAAATATGCATTTGAATACACAAGGATCACCTTGCTTTCGAATATCCTAAATGGAACAAATTGAAAACTGATCTCAATCCATGGGCTCAAAAAAAATTGCAATACATATACTTTACGACACATTAAGAACACATTTTGGCATGAAAAGTACTTACACAATTATTTGAATTGTGCCACCTTTGAAAAAACAAGATGGTAAGAACTAATAATGAAGGTCATGGCATTGAGAATCAAATCATCTTGCAGAATATATAGTCATCAAGCTTTCAACACACTTCCACAACAACATGCATTAGACAAGGTACTGGTTTGTAATACTTAACACTCATAATCAAAAAGTGTAACCCAGATTCAGTAAGAGTAAAAATCTAATTTGGGGATTAGAAACATAACCCACAACCTTAAGAACCCGTTTGACAATCCTTCGAATCGAGACGAATGGGACTTGCTATATGGGAGTGACTCAGAGCGTACTATACCAGACAATGTCGAAAACATATTGAATGCCTCCCTAAGGAAAAGTGGCACAAAAACAACTATAATAGATTCACACCAGAGTAAAGATTACAATCAAGTGAACATCAGTACAAAGAGACGGAGTAAACATGTACACTTTGACATGAGTTCAACACAATGACTACGCCATCGTCATCCCGTACTGTGGCATACCAGAGTTGCAATTCTTCAAACCAATAGCAGAGTGACGTGTCACACGCACCCAAATTTTGAACAGTATTAACATAATATATAAGAACACATGTCCATTGTCTACACGGTATCAGATCGAAGCCCCTATGCAGGGTTCTATGTACACTCGGCTGATTCGTATCCTCTGATGTGTATCCAATACTTCCTGAATCATATTTACACCACTATCTTCCTCCTTCCAATCCCTCATCCCACATTCACCACGGTATTGGCCCCATCAACCCAACTGTATCACCCCACACCTCCACTTCATCCATCCCCACCTACACTCCCGTGGCCCAAAACCCAACACCACCTCCGCCTCCTATATCAACATTCCAACTGTGCATCCATTATTCACCCGCCTTCTCCCACCTCCCTTCTTCCATCCTGCTAACACCCGCTCGCTCCTCCGAACGTGTTTTCCCCGCTGTATGTGAAGTACACGAATCCATCCTCGTCTTTGTGCTCGTCGTATATCGATGACATCATGGCCGCTGCATCCACACACCACTCCCTCCTTTCACTACACAACCTTCTTACAACAATCCCGCACCCGACATAACCAAACCCACGCACCCCTCTCTCTACCGCCAACCGCACCTCCACTACACCCACTTCCTTGTCCCCAACTCTCATCCCACAATCTAACCCACCACGCCTTCTCCCTTGCACCCACACCCGCCCAACCTACCTGTCGGGGGCAGCACGTTCTTCACGAATATGAAGATGGCCTTCTCCGAACTCAACTTGATGCGCTTCCTTATCACGTACACAAACTGTCCAACCGTCAAGTCCGCTGGTACCAGATACCTGCGCACACCTTTCCACGTTACTCTCCGTATCCGCACTCTACACAGCCATGCTTCTGTTGCAGGGACATGGATTAGTGACCAAACACGTGATCACAACGCATCCCAAACCTAATACTCGACGACACCACCAACAGCCTCTCAATCTCGAAACGCAAAAAGCGACGGGGACCCACTTCTTCTTGTCGATGTCTGGTATGTCGCTTTTCTCCGCCTTCTCCACGATCACTGGAATTCTGTCAGGGTACTTGCCACGGATCCTTGAAGCTTCTGCCTGCCTCTTCTCTGCAAGGCCACAATCACAAATTCAGCCGTTAACGTAAAATTCAATATATAAATAATTTTAAATAATTGAGAAAATTTGTCGAAACTGTTCTCAAAGATCCTCGTATCGTGTGCTTGACTCCAAAGTAAGCATTTCCACAACGTTCCACGTCATAGGCACGCCAATTATTCAACACAGCTTACGGAGTTACGAGAGGACGTATCTTAAAACGTAATTAACAATATCACCTAGATTGTTTAAAAAGAAACACTAAAATACTCAGGAAGGATTCGCCTTCACTGATTAAAATTGATTACTCTTGCAAGCTTCATAATAATCAACAGAACAAACTACCTGTATTTCGAACATGTTCAGCTTATCTAGAACATTACAAGCGTGGCAGTGTCATGAAACGCTATGCTGCTCTGAAACATGACAGAGTGTTCCTAACAACAGTAAGATCAATTTAACATTCACGAGCGAGAAGAGCTTTTGACCCGGAACCAACATAAAAGGGCTGAGACCAAAAGTTTCCAGCCAGGTGCAATGATACTGTCTTTAAACATTTTCATTACCAATTCTGTTCGCACCCCATCAAGAATACATATTAAAAACAAGGAACCCGCACAAACCTAGAGCATGTCGACAACATCCATACGTACACTTCATGAAGCCAAATTAGCAGTACATCTTCCAATCAAACATAATGCCGCAATTGCAGCGACGACGCATGCATTACTCGACAAGTATTCAACCACAATTCAATACAAACAACACTCTTACCCAGAGGATGTTCCTGCTTGAACGAACTCTTCGCCATCGTCCCCTCCAACGCCACACCTATACCTTCAACTCTAACCCCAACACTACGATCGCCTTTACACCGCTACCCACCTGATCAAACACAACCATGCGTAATCACCACACAACCCACGCATGAGAATTACCGCCCACCGACACCACAAACCCTACCCACGCTCGTCAAGCCCAGCAACCCCATCTGCCACCATCACCCCCATAAAATGTCCAAGCCACCACATGCCCAGCCCACACACACGCACAACACAAACCCAACTCCCCGCACACGGGAACATGCGCTACCCAATCCTGGCACCACCCCAACCCCATACCTCCTAAAAGAAAGCAAGCACCACCAAGGTATATGAAGAAACACACATGAGAGACTGCGCCAAAGGCAAAATTACCCAACCTGAGGCGAAAATCAGCAGCAGAAGCAGTGTAGTCAAACGGCGAGAAGGAGCAAGCAGCAACGGTGGGAAACAGAGACGAATGCGTAACATTTAAAGAGCCCATTCAGCGAGCATCATGAAAAAGGCGAAGAAGCCAGCGAGCGATCGAGCGAGGCAGCGCACCAAGAGTCACGGGCACGGCAGCCGACACTTCCCCCCCCTCCAGCCCGGCCCAGCCTAGTAGGTCCGGGATTCACAAGCCTAAGGCTCCATTCGGGTGAGGCTATGCAACCAGGTTTGGAATCAGGTTCGGGTCGGGTTCGAGTCAGGCTATGGTGGACCCATGCCCGTGACGGCTATGGTGGGGGAGGGGGGTTAGCGGGATTTTGTGGAGACCACTCCTCTTCACAGACAGTTAGTTGTTGTTGCTGCAGCGGAGTGGCGGCCATGGCGGGCTCGAGCCTCTAGATCCCTGCCCTGCCCTTCCCTGCCCTGCCCTTCTTGATTCTGCCCCTGGCCTTGACGCTGAAGCCAAGTCCTCCCATATTGCCGATGCTGCTGATTCTTACTGCCAAGTGGAGTTGCAGACAATCGTGGTGCTAATATTCAAACCAAGCAAGCAAGCTGGGGCTGGCTGCGGAGATGCTTCGAGTGTGTTTGCTGCTTCCCCAACTCATGCTCATGCTCATGCTAGTTGCGTGGATTCCATCGAATTTCCGTGATTTTCTTCCCCACGATTCCTAATTTGTAAAAGTTGTTAGAATGGGTGTTATGCTTCACTTCGGAGCTTCCTTATAGATGTTGCAGAATTCGATTCATTTCAATATCTGTATAGGAATGTTAAAATAAATCTGTAAGAATAGAATGATTCTGGAGTTTGTTTGTTAAAAAAAAGGGATTTGTAGGATTTTTTTTTGTACAGATCACATCTGTTTCTATTAAAAAGTGTGTGTGGTATTTACAAACTATAATACTATTTATGCTACAAATAGGAAGATTTATTTGGAGAATATTATTATTGCAATATGTGCATGTATGTGTATTTAAATATATATATATATATATATACACACATATGTAGTGGAAGTTTGAACACACCATTTTTAGGAAAATAAATATTTGAAATATGTTATATTAATATTTTGAGGTTAAAAGTTATATTAAGATTTGTTTTTAAAAATACTTTAAACCATGAATAGAAAAAAGATGAATTTTTTTTTATTACTCATAGTTGGTTGATTTAGTTCTAAAAAAAATTAATTTTGAAATCCTCACAATTAGTAAATACGATTTCAAACAAAATTATTAATTTTCTTAAAGAAATATAAGCACAATTTATTGACATTGCTAAAATCTAAAGTATTTAAGGAAATATATTGATTATAAAGATACAATCAACTAGTAAATCTTTTGAAATCTTATTTTTATAGTATATTTGTATAGAGCATATTAATGATGGTTACTTATAAATCAATTGTTAAATACATATTTAGAGACATTTCTATTAGATAAAATAATTTGACTTTAAGATAAAAAAACAAAAACAAAAACAAAAACAAAAATGCATTTTGATTGGCTATTAAAAAGAAAACTTTGAGATCTTGAGGAATGCAAAGTGGTTGGAATTTTTCCAAGAATCAAGTAGTTGGGATTTTGAAAATCTCCAATAATGGCCTCATTGTTGGCTAAGATTGCCATGTGGATAGAATGTATTCTACTTACTATTGTAATGTATTTTCTATTATGAATTGTATTGTGTTCTTTATTATGAGTAGTTGTGTCGTGCTTGGCTTCAATTTTCTTCTATTTTGTAGTTGCTCATGTTGGATTGATTTTTCAAAGCTCAAAGGCTCAAAGCTTGTAGAAGGAATTTCTAATAGGTAGGGTTTTCATATATTTTTTTGTTTTTGTTTTGTACCTCTCTCTCTTACAAAGTAGGGTATGGTTTACTATGGACAAAAAAAAATTTTACGAATTGTTTTGTATATTGGTTGATAGCTTTTGTTTAAGAGACTGCGACTCCTATTGCTAGTGCAAACAAATAATATTACAATATATTGCAAAGCAGAACTTAGTTTTGATGGTTGAGACTTGCAAGAGTCTTGACATCTTTGAATACATCTATTATAACTGTAACATTCATATATTGATATCTATTTCTTTTGTCTTCTTCAACAATAATGAAATATATTTAAGAAATAATTGTGTGAGAGCTTGATCAATCAAGTTATTAATGAATCATATATCTTTTATTAAATTGGTATCATAGACATCTTAAGTAAATGGTTTTGAATAAATATTTTCTACACATTTTTAGTTTTATAGTTGGCATATGATTTATATCTCTTTTAAGATCTTAAATAGAATATAGGAGATTAAATAAGTAAAGAAGTATTTTTCATTTGGATGCTAGATTATTCACAATCATTGATTTCTAAACCCTTATATGTTATTTCTGTCTGCCACATCTAGGTTGTAGCCACTTTTTTCATCTTAGTCCTCCTTCTTGTAAGATTTGGAGTTGTTGAGGTATTTAAATATCATTGTATCTACTTCAATTTTGTCACAATTCATATTGGAGTGGTTTCTCAAAGCTCAAAGACTCAAAGTTCATAAGTGGGATAATGAAATAAAAATTGCATGAAATAAAAATTAAATCATATAAAATTTTTTCTTTCAAGTGTGTGGTTTTTGAGTTATTTAAGTGGTTTTCATTAGAGTGTTGTGAATGTGATAGTGTGCTATTTAATTAATTAGAAGACTTAAAGGTATTAAAATAAGAAATAAGTAGAAGGATTAAGATAATCAACTCATAAGTTAATTAATAGTTATAAATTAGAATAAAAACTTACTAAAGTGGTTTATTTTAGTTCACAATTTGAATATTATAAGACTTATTGGACATTAAATCAAATGCTAATTAAGAATTGCTAGAATATTTAGACAATTAAACTGTTGTGAATTAGAATAGACTTCTAACTAGTAGGAATTTATTTTAGTTAAAAAATTTAATTATATTTAATAATCTATGTTGATAATAGTAATATTATGTTAATATATATATATATAATACATGTAGATATTATATTATATCAAAGATATTGACTTTGATTATTATTTTATTACATTTACTTGAAATCAAAAGATTATATGTTTTCACATATCAATTTGAAGGCCAATAGCACCAATTTCTACACAACCTTTGGTTGTCTATTGAGAATATTTTCACTGTAGAATTTTATTGAAAGTACTTGATTATATAATTGTAATTTGGAAATTTTGTAAATGATTTTATATTTTCTTCATGCCAATTTATTGAAAAAAAGTGTTTTAAAGATTGTTATTAATGAAGAATCGACAATAATATTTTTTACCAATTAAAATTCTAATTTCTATACAATTTTTTGGAATTTTTGTTTTAAGTAATTGTTATTCTAATTTGCCTACCTATTGGATTCAATTTGAATTCTTTTTGATAAAATTTAAATGAATACATATCTTTTCCTTCATGTTAAGACAAGCTTGGATTTCATATGGTATTAGTTGCAAATAGATAAATTATATGCAGGGATATAACTAGCAATATTGTTTTACATTGTTCTATGATATATCATTAATATTCTATAAAAATTAATAAGATTTAGAACATTATGTGTTCATCTTTGATATTGATGATAATACTTTTCCAACACAACAAACAAAGTTATTGCCATGACAAAGATATTTTCCTTATTACATTGTTTGATTGAAGCAATTCTTAATAATTCTTTATTAAAGATAGGAATTTTTTTTTATTTTTTTATTTTAGAGATATGTAGAGTATTGAAGATTAGAATATGTATAGGGATTAAAAACTAAAAGTAAGCAAATAAGTGCATATGTAGCATGTAATTGTAATATATAAGATATGTAAGTAAATAAATGAGTACATATGTAATGCATCATCATATATAGGATATAGGCCATTTGTTTTGGTGTTGAGTATTTACCATTTTTTTAGAATCAATATTAATTGATTATATCTTTTATAATAAAATTATATGCCATTCAATTATAAAACTTGTAAAACATTATAGAAAAACATAACATAATCATATCTATTCTAAAAATATATATAAATTTTGAAATATTTTCATAAATCAATTTATTTTTAAAAAATAGTAATCAAATATATTCCTTACATTTTTTTCATCTACAATTAAAGGACCTAAAAATATTCTTTGATAATGATAGTTTATTTTATTGATGTGATTTAGATTGAAAAAATCATAAAAAGCTTTTATTAACAAACATAAATGCAAATGCAGACCAAAGTGATTTAGAAGTGAAGTTTATATATTTGTTTTTGCACAACTTTCAAAAAATCATAATAATAATAATAATAATAATATGAGTATTATTATTATTATTATTATTATTATAAAAAAACTGAGACTATCAAAAAAATTATTATCATTATCAAAAGATATTATTATTATTATAAAAAATAAGACTATCAAAAAAAATATTATTATTATTAAAAAGTATTATTATTATTAAAAAGTATTATTATTAAAATAAATTATTATTAATAATATTATTTTCTATTATAAAAATATATTATTTAAGCGAATCCACAATAAAAACAAAGAGTATGTGAATATGCTAAGTGATTAGATGCCTTATATAAACATAGAAATGACTAAAACAAAGTTGTGCCTATATGCAATTGTTGTGCAATTGAAAAATCAAGACAAATGGTACATTGTTATATGGCATGATTTACAATATCAAGATATTCTAAGTACCTAATTTTAGAGAATTTAGCTTTATTTTATTGGCCAAGCTCTAATAAGTGATTTATTCTTAATATACAAGACAAATAAATCCAACAATATCAAAAGAAATTCTACTAATAAAATCCATTTATATTTAAGAAGATTTATACATAATAATTTTTAGAGTATCTAGAAATTTCCTAACATCCTTTGCTATACCAAATCAAAACTAACCATTTGCTGAGAAGTTAGATTTTCAATAATTTTAAAGAAAATCCATAATTTCTTTTCAAAATTTTATTTTTATATTAAAATTTTATCATAGCTCTTTATATCCATCTTTAATATATATAAATTCTTAGCTTCCAAAAACCAATTGATTCATACAAAAGATCCAAAATCGTGGCCAAAAACCTCCGACA